TTTTTCTTGCTCTCTCTCTCTCTCTCTCTCTTTCAGGAAGATGCATGAGGGTTGGGGCCAGCAAACTTATTTTCTTGGGTCGAAGCCCTTACTTCTTTCACTCCTTTCTCACGGTTCCTCTTTTTTTGGGTCAAGGCAGGACTTCGGGCAGCTGGTGGTTCTGTCCTTTGCGTCGGTGTCGTCGGCCGCCATTCTCTACACCATTTACATATACCGCGTCCGCAAGCACCTCTTCCACTTTGACAAGCTCTGCTCGAACATCTGCCTCCCAGGCCACCTCTGAGAACGACTTCCCATGTACAAAACTATCAGGCAATCATCTCAGCCAGCGTTGACCATGATCGTTCTTAATGGGTTATCATTTAATCACCCACCCTCCCCTCCCCATTTAATTTCCTGGTTGGGGTGTTATAATCATGCCCTTGAGGGTAAATGAGTAGGTCCGGTCTAATCTCTATCAGTCAACGTGTTGACCTGAGTTAAAACATTCACCGGGGAATGTACCATTCGATGCATCCATCGGTTAAAGATTCAACGAATCCCGTGAGTCGATGCGCGGCCACGTGGGCGCGGGCTGACAGGTCGCTTCCCGAGTGGTCCCCCCCTGAGAGCGATGGGTCAACGGCCTGCTACAGAATTCCCGCTGGGTCATGCCAGCTCCATAACCAGGTCGCGGGGGTAGTATAAAATTGCTCCGAGTGGGCCCCATCCACGCTGCGGCTGTGCTGGTAACCAGAGACAGACAGGACTATTCGCTATCGTGGAACGTGACGCGTTGACGGGGTTTTGCTGTGACGAACCGGTGTAAACCGGGTTCCCGGTTTAAGGAGGAGAGCTGGACCAAGGGGAACCGGAGACAATCCCTGGTGGCTTTTCTAAACCGCCCGGCTTGGAAACCTAGTTCAGAAGGCAATGCAATATGGCCCACCACGTGTCTCCATCTCGTTGCAGGCTGTAAACCGTGAAACCGTTTAGAATATGGACTTTTTAAGTGAATCCCTTTAGCCTCGTTCATATCAATAATATCTATTTTACCACTGATTGGCAGATGCCGCCGCTAGCAGTAGTGGTACTATCGTAATGTTTATGATATACTTCGGTTGGATGGTCTCTCTAGAAGGCCATCGTGGTAACGGCTCTCGTCGGTGAGCCCTCGCCGCGTGAAACCTGCCTCTCTCTCTCTCTAGCTCGGATATAAATTGCCGCCGCCGCCGCCTCTGTGCGTCTGCTGACCTTCCGTTCTCAGAAGAGGGAGGAAGAAGAAACGTGGGGGTTGGAGATCCCATTCCGCCTTGGAAGGCCGGTGGAGAGGAGGAAGAAGCGGCTGGAGGACCTGATCTCTTCGGATGGAGTCCTGCTTTTCCCCTCCGACCTCTCTCTACTACTCCCGTCCTTCCGCCAGGACCCTCATCGGAGGGAACCACACCGCTGCCCGATTCTGCTCTCGCTAGGCTTGTGCGTCCGGAATTAGCGTTTCCTCTTCTCGATCTGCTTCTCTCTGTGGGAGATTTCTGCTCAATTTTCTGATTCTATGTGCATGTGTGGAGTTAGGGCTCGGATTCTTTTCTAGATCAGCCATGGGACCGGCAGTGAAGCATGGATTCTTTAGAAACCTCCTCGTGAGACTTCTGCTCTTCGGTGTTCTGATCGTCGCCCTCCGATTCATGTATGTCGTCATTGTCCACGGCGGGAAGTGCGACGCCCGGGATTTCTGCTTATTCTCCTCGCAAGAGGGCATCACGTTGCCGGACGCCGGATCCTCCTCTGGGAGCAACTTCTTTATCCTTGGTGGTGATTCGCCGGCTAGTCCCGTATGGTCCAGCAGGGAATGGCGGAGGACCGTGTCCTACTACTCTACCATCTTCCAGAACCTGCTTATGGAGGGATTTCTCTCGGCGACCTCCAAATCCCTGTTGATGGATGCGGCGTCCGGACAAGAGGTGTTGGCGTTGAAGGAGATCGGTGTTTCGGACGCCGTGGGAGTTTCCAAGATGAAATCCTTGCCGCTGGTCATCGCCTGGGACCTCTTCAGCCTGCCTTTTGGTAACAACACTTTTGATTTCGTCTTTTGCGGTCGCCAGACGGTCGAGCGCTCGCTGCACCCGGCAAAACTTGCCTTAGAAATATCACGGACACTGAAAACCGAAGGTGTCCTGGTTGTCCACACATCATCTGCTGGAGATGTGTACAGTCTGAATTCGTTTCTGAGCCTTTTCCCTGGCCACAGATTATTGAGGAGTCGTGAGACTGATGGGTTGGATTTTTCAGCTGCGCGTGAAATAATTTTGCAGAAGGGGGGAGGTAGTCTAACTCTTGGCCCCGGGAGGGAAGAAAGTGAGAAAGCTGATTCATCTGGCAAATGCTTCACTCCGGAGTACAAACTGAAGCTGTTGCATTCTGCGGAACCGCTGATTAAAGAGGAACCTTTGAAGCCATGGATCACGCTTAAGAGAAACGTGCAAAACATCAAGTATCTGTCATCGATGGTGGACATCAATTTTAAGAGCAGGTATGTTTACGTCGATGTGGGTGCCCGGAGCTACGGTTCTAGCATTGGGAGCTGGTTCAAGAAACAGTACCCAAAACAGAACAAAACTTTTGATGTTTATGCAATTGAAGCTGATAGGACGTTTCATGCCGAATATGAGTCAAAGAAAGGAATTACGTTGCTCCCATATGCTGCCTGGGTACGCAATGAGACACTCTCATTTGAGATCAATGGGGACCCAGGCCAGAAGGATGAAATCAAAGGGAGGGGAATGGGTAGAATCCTGCCTGCTGCTGGATCGGCCACTGGTTTGACCAAGACCAGGGTCGTGGATGAAATACAGGCGTTTGACTTCGCTGAGTGGCTGAAGAACACAGTGTCCATGACGGACTTTGTGGTTATGAAGATGGATATCGAGGGGACAGAGTTCGATCTACTTCCAAGATTGTTCGAGACGGGGGCGATTTGCTTGATTGATGAGCTCTTTCTGGAGTGCCATTATAATCGGTGGCAGAAATGTTGTCCAGGGCAGAGGTCGCCCAAGTACCAGAACACATATGGGCAGTGCTTGGAACTCTTTTCTCTGCTCAGGAAGAGCGGCGTCCTTGTTCATCAGTGGTGGTGACTTTGCAAAACTATTACAGGAATACAGATCACACACTGCATATACTCCTACTGTAATATTTCCTTGTCATCATTTTGTTCTCGACAGTGTCTGCAACCTTTTCTATTTCACAATCAATTCCCCACACTATTGCTGAGGAATTTGTATTTTGTCCTTGTAATCCCACAAGGTGGTTTTTCCTCTTCAGAATTATGAAAGTCAGGTTAAATCACGTGCGATTATTTCCCTTTTTATGTTTATTGTTCTCGTTAAACTGTGTTCTTTATTAATCATCTATACTGTTTGAGAAGGGAGGACAGGCAAAACAATCTCATAGCCGAAGTCTCCTGCAGATTCTTGAAGCATCGTAGCCGAAGAAGAAGTGGTGTGGTGTTATCCATGTCTAATCTCATAGTCTGTGGTCCGACTGCGATGGTGCTCTGCAGGTGAAGCAACTAATCCAGTTCTTCGATCAGATCTCCGGTTCCTCGTCTTCGGTTTCCTTTCTTGTTGGTTTCTGCAACATCGCGAATTAAAATGACAGTGCTGGATTAGTTGATTCCTAATTGGGCTGCCATCTTTCATGATTGAGACCTTGTTCATACCATTTTGTTTGAGAAGGTTTGTTCCTCGCCGACATCACCCGCTAGGTATGAATGGGGCATTATCCCAGAACAAGGTATGGATGTGGGTGAGCAGCCATCTTTCTTCCTTCTCATGGTTTTCTGCGCATGATTGAGCCCGTGTTCATACCATTCCTCGCCGACATCAGTTACTACGTATGAATGAGCCATTATCCAAGAACAAGGATAATATATTTATTTGTTTATTTATTTTATTTTTTAAATGTGTCGTATCCTTTTTTTTTCTTCCCTAGTAAAATGATTGTTGTGTTCGTATGGTGTGGATCAGTCAACGGGAGAGGGGGAACCTCCGGGTTGTTTGATCGAGACCAATGAATGACTCGGGCTCGCCTTCCACCCACCCCTAGAACAGGGAAGGGGATTCGAGATCGAGAGGCCGGTCCATTAAATGGAGAGAGAGAGAGAGAGAGAGAGAGAGAGAGGATTCCGTGTATAAATTAATTTATTTTCCCTCTCTCTCTCTCTCTAACCAGTTTTCGGCCTTTTGCGCTTGGCGACGAGAAGAAGACAGCAGCATGATCGTGTATAAATGTACAGTCAGACACCTGAATACCACCTTGCTCTCTCTCTCTCTCTCTCTCTCTACCCAATCATGACTTTATCTCGTTGGAGCCCTGGTCAACATCACATCCGCCCAACTTGTCGGTGGGGAGTGTCTTCGAATGGTTAGTCGTTGACCTCCTTGTGGATTTGACGAGAGGCCTTAGAGAAGAACCTATAAATTAGGAAGAGGAGACGGTTTTATTTCGTTGTTTTAGACATATGATTGCTCTCTGAGCGCCATTATCTAACCTTAAATAGACAGATAGATAGATAGATAGATAGATAGAGAGAGAGAGAGAGAGAGAGAGCTAGAGAGAGAAAGAGAGAGAAAGAGAGAGAAAGAGAGAGAAAGAGAGAGAAAGAGAGAGAGAGAGAGAGAGAGAGAGGGTTGTGTTGACCCAACGAAATCCTTGGCAGTCACTTGCCCGATCACCGGAGTAAACCGGAGAAATTACAACTGCCAACGATCAATACCTGAGTGATATCATCTCTCTATCCCGGAGATCATCTGTGGCGAGAAAAACAGGAATCCCTGGAGAGTGAAGGAAGCAATGGACCAAAGAATCCCCGTTGACTTCAGACTTCATCAGAGGCCCATGCGGCGGCAGAAGTACCGATTACGCTTCCTCCGAGACGCTCTCCAGACGCGGCCGCCACAGGTGCCGCCGGTAAGCCGGCTTCCTCTCCTCGTGAGCCACCGTCGAAAGACCTTCTCCGGCTACGGCGGGTTCCTTCTCCGCCGGCGAAACTCCACCGCCGCCAGCTGCATTGGTCTTCCTCTCCAAGGGAATCGCCGCCGGAAGAGCTTCCGAGGCGCCCGCGGCCTTCTTGGAAGCCTTCCTCCGGTTGGTTCTCCTCATCGCCTTGCTCCTCCTCTCCTGCTGGAGAGACGCCTCCGGTATCAGGAAGTATATGCTTCCTCGCCGGAGCTCAGACCTCGGAGACGAGATGAGGGTCCGCCGGAGGACTCCCTGAGAGCAAGGATTGCTCAAAACGTGTCCGGGGTTCCCCCTGAGAACCTCGCCAGCGGTTACTCTCCGGCTGAACTCCTCCACGCGGCCGCCCAGGTGGACGACCCGGACCACGTCTAGGGTTCCGCAGGGGAGAACGCAAGCCAGGCAACACCTGACGCTGTTACCCATCTCTCTCTCTCTATTCTCCTCTCTCCTCCTCCCCCGCTCACCTTCAACTTCCTCCGGCACCGAGACCTTCCTATACGTGGGTAGTTAAGATATTCACCTAGAGAGAGAGAGAGAGAGAGAGAGAGAGAGTAGACAGGAGTAACATGGGACTGCCGGAGAGACGACCCGGAGATAGTCAGGCGGCGGCGATTGATTGACGAGACGATGACGTCGTCCTGACCGCTCCCGGGTTCTCGCACGGTCATCATCTTCTTCTCCGGCACCGGCGGGGCCCCGCCATGTTCACAGAAGGACCGTCTCTTCGTCGTCCGATCACTTTCCGGCGGACCGATTCGAGGACAGCGCAACTGCCCCCGGCCCCTCCACCTCTGCTCAGGGCGGCGCCGGCGGGAGTCCCACGGTGTACGGCGGCGGAGCAGCCGGCTACGGGCTCGTGCCTCCTGGGTTGCTCAATCATGTGGACCTCAGCGATCGAGCGAGAGATCACAACTTCGTGGGACCATGCCGAACAAATCCAAGGAAAATTAATCATATGATCTCAACGTAATTCTTTCATAATTTTTTTTTTAAAAAAAATCTTATTGCGTTATATCTTGCAAACATTCTTAATATATCAGGGAGAAGGTTACTATCTATATTTGTTTATTATTTTTTTAATGAGAATATTATTCTTCACACAATGAAATATCACAAGTGAGGAAATTACATTGGGTTCCCTCTAAGAACCTTTTGAATCTTCTCATATCCTCTGGGCACCCTCCCTACCAAGACGACGACTCTCATCATGCACTCTTCAACCATGTTACATTCTATGATCAGTTATTTTTGTGTAGTCTTTTATGATTTTTCCTCTTATTCAAGCCCAACAATGGCCACCGTCTCCATCTCCATCTCCACATTGTTGACAAAGTTCTATCATCACCATTATCATTAGTACACTTTTAGTAAATTGTGAAGAACAAGGAGCTGAAACCCTTTTAGTCATTATTTGCATTATATAGCAAACTAGAGAAAGAAAAACCTTCTCTTATGACTTGGGATTGCATGGACATTTGGACTTGGGGTACAACGTGTATGTTGTAAATACAAAGGTTGAAAATTATGTACCGTTAGTCTCAATTTTTGAGGTCAACGATGCCAAGATCATTAAATAAATAAAAAATTTTTGACTTCAAAGGTTGGTACATAAATAAATATTGTCCTTGGTAGACTCTAGAGCATTCTCATTGGTACGACTTGGGATTTTATGGACATTTGGACTTGGGGAAAAAGAATACAACATATATTTTGTAAATACAAAGGTTGAAAATTATGTACCATTATTCTCAATTTTGGAGGTCAACGATGCCAAGATCATTATATAAATAAATTTTTTTGAGTAATGTATCAACATTTATTTCGCACAATGTTATTTTGACAAAAAATATGAGATTTTTTATACAAATTATATCTTAAATATCATTTTGTAAAAATAACTATTTTACTTTTGGGTATATTTTCCTCAATCTAATGGTTGTTCTTATCTAATGGTTGTTCTTATTCCGAAATCACCCCCCATCACTCATTAAGGGTCGTTTTCTAACCTAATCATCAGTCTAAAAGTAATGCATTAGGTGATTAGACTCACTTCTTGAAAATAGAAAGGTACACACTGGTTATCCCATCAGTCTTAACATCACATGAGACTATTCCAAGGATTAAGGTAATATTATACTAATATTTGATAGTATTAAATCACCATCTTGCCCTTCCACATATTTTAAATTGCAAGGCTCTCAAAGTCAACGTATAGACCCTACATCATCTCATTTTCAAGCTTAAATACAAGCTATTCTATCTATTGTACTATCCACATCATTTTTATAACAAAGTTGTTATCGATCTTCTTTTCAATGTTGCAAAAGAGGATGAACTTTATGTATCTTATGCAATAAACACATGAGAGCTAGTTTATTTACTACTTCACAAACAAGCTACTAGACATAAATGATTATATAAAATCATTATTAAAAAATTGACATTTATATTGAATGATACAAAGTTGAGATGCCAAAGGCTTTGCACAAGTAGATGATCACTTGTACGTCAAAGATGGTATCTATTTGTGTATAAATCATATGAAAGCAATCCAAAAATAGATATTTTCACAATTGGATGTCAAAGCTGCATTCGTGAGTGGTCAATTTGCCAACCGGTGTATATATCTTCTCATCTAGGAATTTCTCACATTATGATTCAGCATGTTGACTCAGAAAAGCACTTGCAATTTCAAACAAACGCACAGAATTTGCTTGCTTAAAACACTTTTCTGCTATTATTCACTGATCGAGCTTCGGAATGAGTAGTCATATTTTAGCCATGAGTCTTTCCTCAAGCTCTCTTGGTTACATTATTCTTACTCTTTATAGTGATTGATATGATTATTAACTGGTCTGATTTTATCTCTCAAGATATAATTAAAAAAAAAAATAATGAAAGATCTTCAGAGCTTTTAATTATTTATTAAGGATTGAAGTGACTTCTTCTATGAAAAGTTACCTACCTTTTCACAATCAATTCTGAAGTAAATAGACAAAAAAGATTTAATGTGATGAATTTCTACCCAATTTGGACTCTACTTGTGATAAATGCGTCTATCACCTCAAGCAATATTATCCATTATATCTCCTTTTTACTCAACTTAACATCCCTTAAGTTGTTCACAAAGTCAAACACTTTGTTAGTACTCCAAGTTTTGCTTGTTGTACTACAATTCTTCAGATCTTACGATTCCAAAAAGGCTTATGACATTAGGGTTTGTTCTTCTCTACCACTTCCAACTCAAAGCTTAAAGTCCCTGATGTGTTCTATCACAGATCAAACATCTATCACGTGCTGATGTGTTCTATGTAATGCTTATTTACCTTATTTTGTCAAAAGGATAAGAAATAATCTAATTTCTCTCAATCCGTTATTACAAAAATAATAAGTTGAACCAGACAACATGACTTTAGATGACCGTTTATTGTTCCAAGCATCTATATGTCTACTCTTGCTCTTACGCATGGTGTGTGACTACTAAAATGCCATCTGAATAGCCCAAAATTAGATCTTTAACGAGCCTATCAAATACATGAATTGAGACTGACTTTCACTTTACAAGACATTGTAAAAATCTGGCAACATTTCTTCTAGCATATGGTTAACACATTTCTCCATTAAATCTCATACTCACATGAGCTTCAACCTCTTCCATGACGAATTCTTGATTTTTCTCCGTAGAACGTCAAGACTCTGAGGGAGGATTTAACAAATATTATAATATATTTTTTATGAGGACCGTATAGAGTTTCTGATCTCTCCAAGGTTTTCCCCTTTGTGATAAACAACTATCCTTATTCTTCTCTTTTCCAAGTGATATGTTGACTGTAACAGTCACAAGAACTAAACCATTCAATCCTCTTCTGCATGGCCACAATAATCCCATTTAGAGACACTAATTTTGTAGACTGGGGAACAATCAAACCCCTAATATGGTTTCAGACCTAAGTTATTTTCAGCTACCCATCTTAGGATACACAGGCACCCTGTGATGGGCTACTGGAACAGAGTGGGGTATGGAAAATGTATGAAGAAATGGGTAATCATGATGATGGCTTGGAGGAGGTGACTATCAGGCAATGATGCTAGACAGAGCCGACCAAGGTGCATAGAGAAACATAAACACCATTATTTTGCGAGGAAAGGAGATATACAGACAAGAACATAAGGGCATAACCAGTTTAATTATATAACAACTAGAAGGATGAACAGTTGTGGAACGAAAATGTTCAAAAAAGGAGAAAAAAACTTCTCAATATGGTCGTGAATCAGTTCACACAAAGATTGCAGATTAAAATCCAAACAATGAAGCGGGCTAGCTTTACAACCACAAAAACTTAAGTGATTCTCAAAAAATTGAAGTACTGAAGTAAGTATGATCGGCTCCTTATGGTAGGACAACAAGATTAACTTGATTGCCTTCCGCGAGTTGGTTCTCCAATGCCTTGAACAAAGAGACCGATAAGACTGGTTAGATTACAGTCCCACATTTAGTCATCCAGTGTACAAGGTTTCTCGTCTACACATTCAAAAATTTCCTAAACTCAGGTAATGCAAGCCTGAAAACATGGCATTGAGTACTGATAGTAATGGATGGGAATATGCGTCTGTTCAGAGTTCTTTTGTGAACATGTCAGACGAATTTGAGGCATGAAGAAATCGTTTTCCGGATCCAAGTATCTCGCTAGAATAGCTTACATCAACCTTAAAGTCAACAAAATACATATAAAATGGACAACCAAGGAAATTAAAAATAAGGAACGACAAAAAAAAAAAAAAAACATCTCACGCCAAAATGCCCGCAAACAATAAACCTAAAACAGGTAAGGCTGAGAGATGCCATAAACATTAAGCAAACATACCTCTGGTAAAAGAAAGATCGATAACTATTTCAACATATTCTCGAGGACAAAAGCAGAAAGTATCACAACGGTGCGAATTCCCCATACAAAAAGTGTTACAAACGAAACAACATCCCATTTCTCGCGCATTTCCCACCCTAGAATGCAGGGAGAGACTAGGCAACAGGGGCGACGTGACGGAGGTACCCTGAGTAATCTCTGGCGGAGACAACGAGCTCCTTTAGATCCATATCACACGCGCGAGGCCATGGCGGGTCCTGCAGCAGACGCCGCTCCGCCGAGAAAAGACAATAATCCGGATCCACCGACGCCAGGCTCCTGTTCGTCGAGGAAGAGGTCCTCAGGCATCCGGAAAGCGCCGTGTACACACACTAGAGCAGCCCCAACCAGGAGGGCAGAGATGAGCAGCGAACCGACCGAGGTAAGGAACACGACGAAGACGGTGACGACAACGAGACCGATGAGGGTCTCCCGGTCGGAAAACTGGCGCCCGAGGATGACAAGCGGCGGATCGGCAGGGCGGAAGAGATAGAGGAAGCACCAGGAAGCAAGGAGGGCGAGGAGCACAAAGAGAGAGATGGGATGCGAGAGGAGGGAGAGAGCGAGAACGGCGGCTAGGAACGCGATGTAGTTGATCCGGAAGTACGATACGTTCTTGCGGACGCGGGAGGCGGCCTCCGAGACGGACTCCGGACGGGAGAAGGAGGATCTGTCCGCCAGCTCGTACCACGGCCGGCGGTTGACGAGGGAGCGGCGCACGGAGTCGGAGAGCCGGGAAAGGAAGAGGCGGAAGGCCGGCGTGGAGATCGGCGCTGTCTGCTGAGCGGATCCGGCGGCGGCCTGCCCCGTCGAGACGGGGATGGCGGTCGCCGGCGAGGAGGCCATGGTCGGCGGCGGAAGGGCGCCGAAGATCTGAGCACCTCTGCTTTCCCCGCCCCGCTTCTCTCTCTCTCGCTCAGGGCATCACCCTCTTCCGTCAGATCGAAGCGCAAAGTACAGAGGGATATTTATTAAACAGAATAATTCGTATTAAAGTTTTTTACAAAAAATCGTTCATAAATAAGCCAGTATGCTCGATTAAAAAATATGGACCTACTCCGTGATGGTTGTAAATGGGCTATCTCAGCCCATTAGGGCCCATGTTGGAGCAAGGAATAAATATGGGCTTCTTTGCTATGGGGCGAGGATTTCGGTTAAGTGGACCCCGCTTGAACTGGCAGCGGGCCCCGTGCCTACGGCCATGAGAATCGGGTCTAGGGAGGGGGAGGTGACCGAACGGCCCACTGTCGTCACCTCGGGGAGGTGATCTCGTCCTGTCCCTCCACTTGCCCGTACGACGACGCGACCCTCCACACGTTGCGAGGGCGTGCCTGACGGGCCGGGCTGTGCTGCCGGTTGGCTCCCCTCGCGCCGCCACCGCTTCGCTTGTCTCCACGCGTTCAGTGGTGCCGCCGCCAAGTGGCCGACCTACCCCACCGGCCCACTTGCCAATTTAACCTTCGGCCCGTCAAGTGTAAGCATAAACTCTCCCTCACTCTCTCTCTCTCTCTCTCTCTCTCTCTCTTTCTTTCTCTCTATAAAGAGAGAGAAGGGGATAAAGATGAGTTTCTGCAGACATCCATTCTCCACCCGTCACAGTAGCGAGGAAGATCGGGCCGGAGAGTAGAGAGGGAGAGAGAGGGAAGGGGAGAGGATCACAATGCGCTACACACTGTGGAGGCCTTCATCGTCGACGCTACAGAGGAAGATCAGCGGCGGCGGCGACGGCGGCGGAGGGGCGATGAGCTGCGTGGCGGAAGCGGCGGCGGCGGCGGCGGAGGCGCCGTGCGCGGGGCCGGCTCAGCAGCAGGAGGTGCCAGAGGCGGTGGCGCGGTACCACGCGCACGAGGTGGCGGAGAACCAGTGCTCGTCGGCGGTGGTGCAGACGATCGCGGCGCCGGTGGCCGCCGTGTGGTCCATGGTGCGGCGCTTCGACAACCCGCAGGCGTACAAGCACTTCGTCAAGAGCTGCCACGTTATCGTCGGCGACGGTAACGTGGGCACGCTCCGGGAGGTGCGCGTGGTCTCCGGCCTGCCGGCGGCGACCAGCCGCGAGCGCCTGGAGATCCTCGACGACGAGCGCCACGTTCTGAGCTTCCGCATCGTCGGTGGCGAGCACCGCCTCTCCAACTACCGCTCCGTCACCACCCTCCACCCCTCCGCCGCCGGCGACGGCACGGTGGTCGTCGAGTCCTACGTCGTGGACGTGCCACCGGGGAACACCAGGGAGGACACCCGCGTCTTCGTGGACACCATCGTCAAGTGCAACCTGCAATCTCTCGCCCAGACCGCCGAGAACCTCTGCAAGCTCCCTGACCCATCTTCTCCCTGATCAATGGGGAACACGACTGACAGACTGTGGTCGTGTAGATACGGGGGAACTCGGAGGAGGCGTTTCCATCTCCATCTCTGTATAAATGTATGTGGTGCACATTCCAGGTTCTTCAAAGCCGGAGCTGGTCTTGTTGTTGAGAGGTCAACTCCGGTGATCTGACGCGGAGATATATTAGATAGCCCATGTTCGCGTTCTGGTCCCGTTGAATTTTCGCCGACTGTACGGCGATCTGCCGGCGGCGCAGTCCGGCGGCAGTGCGGAGGCCGCGGTGGTGGGAAGGGCGAGGAGGAGGGATAAATTTAAGGCTCTGACATCGTCCTTCACCGTCGATGGCGTAACAGTAAAATAGTCGACCTCTCTCCGCTGCAACTTGCCCATCAACTTGACTTCCACAACAACTGCGACTAGCCCCACGCCGCCCTGTTCTCTCTCTCTGCTTTCCCTCTCATGGACCTGTCGGGGCTTTAATACCTGTCACGGTCGTCCTCCGCCGCCTCCTTTCCACGTTAGTTGACGGCGTCTTCTTTCGTCCGAGGGAGACGACGCAGGCAAGTGGCGCTGCAAGTTGGGCCTCCTTCCTTCCCCTCCCCAGTCCACCACTCCGCCGCCGTATTTTTAATACGGCGGCTTTCAAATCGCCGCCACCGCCACCGCCGCTCGCAAGAAACCTTCAAAGTCCGCGCCTCCCGGCGTAGATACCCGAGGGCTCTGGGGGAGGGCTCATCGAGAAACCCGGTCAAACCAGCTGCTCCTCACAAGGGCCCAGAAAAAGGCGACGCCTTTTCGGTTAGTGGGTAGGGCCTCGAAAAAAAATAGATGGTACGGCAAGGTGGGGATGAACAGATATTTAGAATATTCGCTTTTCGTAAAGCAGACCAACTAACAAAGGGTAACAAGGACCCATCTGGTGCAGGATTATTTTCCATATTTGTTGAAAGTAATTACCCATTTTCTTGGATTACCCCAACTGCCTAACCCCATATCAAGCTCAGAAGAACGGGTCAACTTAGCTACTTCCATGCATGCCAAGAAAGCTTGTCCCTGCTTGGATCACGTGGTTAGTGACATTTTCTTAGCTTTCATCACAACTTGGCTATTTTATGAGTTTCAAATAATAATAATAGTAATAATAATCAATATGGTTAAAACTTTTAAAAATAATTAATTACCGTATTAGTAATTGATCAGGTGTGTTTATAATTGATCCGGTTTCAACATAGACTAGATATCTAATATATATTCTTACTTCAGGATATATGATTGGAATTAATAATTTCTAAGCTTCTATAAGGAATCTAGCACATTTTCATAATTCAAATCAGGTGACAAATAATTAATTTAGGGGGGAGCTATAATTGCACATCTCTTTCTAAGAATAATTTTCAATCAAGCAAAAGCAAACTAAGAACACTGCACGCCTGGGCCCTATGAAGTTGTGCAATCTCATAGCAAGAACATTTTATTATTACTAAGATTGGATGGTTAGATATATTGGGACTTTACAAAGCGTCCCTTGTGAAGTATTTTATCATAAAATGGCTCAAAGTTACTGACAATTCTAGGGTTTTGGGGCAACTCATTCACTACCATGTTGAAGTGATTGCCAAAATAAACAACGATCATGATACTAGATAATGGGTGCATGAAATATGATAATCTTGTCAACAGGTAATCAAAATGTTATCAACACATTTGGGAGTCTTAGGCAGCCCAAATCCTAAGACTACCTCAAAAACACGCCATACAAGGTGCATGTACCATGTACCATGTGGCAACAGCTAAATGGGTTTTAAATCAGAGAGAGAGAGAGAGAGAGAGAGAGAGAGAGAGAGAGAGAGAGAGAGAGAGAGAGAGAGAGAGAGTACCATGTAGCGAAAAAATTGAGTTTTAAATCTGTAGATCAAGATGCATAATGGGTAGAAGGCTGAATGGGGATACCAATAATACCATACAAGTTAAAAATAATAGATCTGATTCCTGTTTCTAGCCAACTAACTTTATCTTTTCTGTGAAAACTAGAATTACCATCACATTTCCTTACTATTTTAAATAAAAAATAAACAATCACTTTTACATCCCTGCAAGCAAACTAAGCACTGATTTAGCTTCATTGAATTCTTTGCAGTGAAGCACCCGCTGAACTATAATATTCCTCGTATGACTAGTGAAGCTGGTTAGGCAGCTTTATCTTCGATGGGGAGCCAGAAACGTATTATGGCAGGTTCAAGCATCCGAATATATTTCCCAGATTAATGTTCTCTAATAAATGAGAAAAACAATTAGATGCCAAGATACTATAGCATCCAATTATTCATATAAATCTTATTATTCTGATACGGAAGGTTACACAGCTCAAGGTGCATCAAGGCTAATTATCAGGACTCAGAGACGGATAAATCATGCATTCACCCAAAAGAGCATCATTATTATGGGCTCATCGGAAGCCATGCTTAGAATCTACTGCACTAGACTTCAAAACCAAAACAGGAATTACCTCCCCTCATCGATCTTCCATTCTCTGTGATTTCCAGCCTGTTCAAGCCCCAATGTTCTCAATCTCAGCAGCCCTGTCCACCCTCTTCACAATGCCAGCAATGACCTGGGTTGTGATTCCAGATGCATGAGACAGGAGTTGACTTTTAGGACCATTCCGGAGGTAGATTACCCAGAGAGATGAGAGAGAATAAACAGAAATTTCCTAGGCAATATTACCTTGCCGGGGCCAAGCTCATAGCTTTTCTTCAGCCCGTTGTTCAGGAGAGACTTCACGGTTGACTCCCATTGGACAGGAGAAGTCACCTGTGAGGGGGAGGAGCAAAAGGGAAATGAATTGGCAATCAAAGGGAAGCTGGGCCAAGAGTTTGAGACTCTCTGAGGCTCACCTGCCGGGCTAGAATCCTTTTGATGGTCTCAGGGTCAGAGTGCGGCTGTGCATCCACATTTGAGATGACGGGTATTCTAGGGGTCACAATTTCGGTCTCTGCCAATGCAGCTTCCAGTCTGGAGACGGCTGGCTCCATGAAACTGGTGTGGAAAGCACCAGCAACAGCTAAACGGACCTGCAAGTTGAAAGTTCTTAGGGTGTTTTTTTTCTTTAGAATTGCAACTTTCTCTCGGGTCAATAAATAAGATCCAGTGGTAAAAGCATCAGTCAGTCATAGCAAACCCAAGCAAGATCATCGTTTGAATGCTCAAAAATGCTTTCTAGGATTGCAGGTGAAAGGCCTATGTATAAGAAGACAAAAGGATGAACGTTACAGTAGGATCTTTATCCATACCGGAGTATTGGAGAGATGTAAGTTCGTGATTCACACGGGAGATCAATCACATCAATAATTTTTGCATCTTGGTTCTTACTTACATATGATTCTTTATGTATCAAGGCCTCATGAACCAGACTAAGCATTGGACAGGGCAGAAATGAAAAGAGAAAATAATTAATTTTCTATTGAATTTTCGGAATTCAGACCGTCATGCGAGCTTTGAATGATTTTGCTTTAGCTTCTACAGCTTCTATTCCTTTCAAGCCCCCTGAAACTGCATAGTTTCCCTGCGAATGTAATCCATTTGATGAGCTGTAAATGACCCAGGCCATGAAAGAAATTGGTCATGGTTTCAAACACAAACATTCTTACGGGACAGAGAAAGTTTGCAATGTGGACTTTGTCTTTCTCCTCCACTTCCTCATTTGCTGCATCGCAAAGCAACTGAACCTTCTCTGAATCTAGCCCGATGACGCTTACCATTCCACTCTGAGCAGCATCAGCAGCATCCTGAAAGAGAATACCAATTAATGACCCCCCAATTCCCGCCCAACTAACTACCCAGCATTCAGGAAGTTCCTCAGAATCAAACTTATTTCCTCCTGACCTGCATTGCCTCTCCTCGCAGCTTGACAAGCTTGAGACCATCTTCAAAGCTTATTGATCAAGTTCACAGATAACAAAGTCAGGAAGGGCCATCTTACAAGAAGAAATGAACTCCAAAAAGAAAAAAGCTGAATCAGATAATATAGCAGAAAGTATTAGATGAATTGAATTTCCTAGCTTTTAAAACATCAGGTGGGGTTGAGACATGAATTCCATAAATATTATCTTTTTGCAGTGACAAATAATAAGTCAACACTTGAACAAACGCTATAATAGTGTGCAATGGATACGTTTCGAGTACCTGAAGGCCCCAGCAAATGAAAGGGCGGTGTACTCTCCCAAGCTTAGACCACAAGTGACATCTATTGAGTCAATAATATCCTGACCTCCATCACGAGCTCTTAGGACTTCAACGGCAGCTAGACTTGCCACATAGATTGCTGGCTGTTCACATTCGTGTTTAGCATAAAAACAGGGGAATGTAATTAGAACCAAGTAAGAAACAGTGGGTTTATTTTTTCTTCTTTTTTTTCACAAATGAAACCTTAAAACACACATATCATATTGACTTCCTGATAATTACCTGGCTTATTACTGTCGAATCAAGCTTTTCTTTAGGTCCATTAAGGCATATGTTCAGGAGGTCATAACTGAGAAAAAAAAGAGAAGTTATATCACAACACAATGAAATCTCTCCACTAAGTACCGGGCTCAGGCATATGCATTCATGAACTAGAACCTACCCAAGAATGTCATTTGCTCTCTGAAATAAGTCGGCTGCAGCCTGCACACTCTGAGCCACTGCACCCATTCCTACAGCTTGTGCGCCCTTATTCATGATAGAGCGAGTAAAGAAAAAAAATAGGGCCTATTATGATAAAGCAAATATAATCTTCAAAAATTAAAGTCGGAATCAAATGGAAACAATAACATTTCCAAGTGGGTGCAAAACCAAGAGAACATTTTATGTGAGCTCTTTTACGGGTCATCAAACTGGTATCCACATTTCATCGAGACGAAGGACCATAGAAAAACACGGCTAACATCAGAACGAAACAACATTCTCATGGAGAAAGTGGAAAAAAATAAAAAATGGTACGAGGATATATGGCATTCCGCCATTCAGTAAATGCCACTAAACCTTCCTGGATTGGTTGTGTGGGAAAATGGAAAAGGAAAAGGCGCAATCTCCAGCTTAGCATCGCCGACGAAAAATTGAAAAATTGCACTGTAGGCATGTTATAATTGAATTCAATCAAGCAGGAATCCTTTCCTACATAGAACTACTACCGCATGGAAAACACTACAACGCAAAAAACCCGCGAAGAATCGAGCGAAAATGACACAACACCATCGACATGATTTACCTGTCCGGGAAACAGGAAGGCGTTGGTGGGCTTGTAATCCAAGAAAAACGAGTCAGCCGCCGACGCTCGAGATCCAACGGCGACGCCAGCGCATGCCCTAGATCTCCACGCATTCCTGGGGAACGACCTCACCGGACAGAAGCGAGAAAGCTTCAACTCAGAGACGGGCGGAAGCAGTGCGAGAGAAGGAGCCGCCGCACCAGACGCCATCCGGCACAGAAATCTCAGCGGCCGGGGGCGGGGGAGACACTCCGACGAGGGAAGCAGAAGAGGGCGAGGAGATCCCGAAATGCGCGTAGAGACGGGCCTCGCTAGCATGCGATAGCCAATCTCGCCACCCAGCGGAAGAATCAGTGCGCACGAGAGGCGACGGCGGGTGGGCGGAGCTCACGAAGGCGCGCTGACTGCTGTGGAGTGAAGAGGATGAGCAACGGCTCTCACAAAGCGCGTCCCCATCGAGTAGTCTCACCTGCAGAAGGACCATAATCACTCTCACCGCCCGTCGTACTCGGACGGACAGCACCGAACAGTAGGCTACGATCTATTAGGTGAAGTATTTCTTATCTTACAATTCGGTGGTCTGATACAAAAAACTATTTATCCACTGAAATATATATTTTAAAAAACATAACTATTTATTTATCCAATAAACTTGAAAATCGGTCCAGACTGATCCAATCTTATTGGGCTTGGGCTATGGATTAGGCCCATATGATCTCATAGTGAGCCCTACACATCAATCAAATCGAATCTTAGAAAAGTCATCTACATTGCTCACGTATAGGGGTAATTGGGTAATCTAAATATAGCACGAAGTTAATTGGATGACAGACAGCCCATTTTATAATCGGGCCCGAAAGACGTCCGATTGGGCTTACCAGATGACCCAGATACGTTAGTGGGCCCTGTCTGGGTTGACTCCGTCGCCGCCGCCTGGTGGTCGTCTTCTTCCTCCGTGGTCTCCTCCACGCGTTGCGGGGGACGGAGAACTGGGGGGGTTTCTGGGCGTCTCCTCGTCGTGGAGAGAGAGCAAGGGCCGGACAGAGGTGAACGGTGGAGAGAAAGGAGAGAGATGGATCAGGTGATGAACAAGCTGGGGACGTACTGGTTCAGCAAGAGAGCCGACAAGGAGATCTCCTCCGTCGGGGATGACCTCAATGTAACGTGCCTCCTCGTCTCTCTTCCTTCTCCCCTCTGTTGTCCATGCTTTTTAATGTAATTTCTTCCCGATCATCATCGCTATTTATCATTAGAACAATTGCTTGTGTTTTCCATCTTGCGACGCAGCCGGGTTGGTAATTGCGTTCGTTCTGTGGATTCTGGCAGCCTTCCGGAACGTTTTCGATCTTGGTTCATCGCCCCTTTTAGGTACCTGTAAGGGCCTATAGTTGCGTTGATGAAGCTATCTGTCTCCGTTACGGGAACACTTCCCATTTTTTCTCATTTTAGCATGACCTCTCCATGGCTGCGCCTGATTGTGGATGCAAATCCCCTGAGAGTGGATGCCCGCCCTGCTGGGAACATCATGATTCTGGGAATTGAAATTTAATATTATGACTAATTATCCGCTGGTGTCATTTTTTGTTTCTTTTTTTGCCGGAAAATTGAGGAAAAAAATAATTCTGTGAGCTTGATGTATCGTACAGTTCTTATTTATTTCCTCTGCCCCGTTGAACATTCTAATCCCAGACAATTGCTTCTGAAATCCGAACTATCCTGTGGATAAAAGCATCTCTACTTTCCTCATTAAAGAGCAAGATCCGATTTCTTCACCTGCGTTAGGTTATAAGGAAATATGCTGTTTCTGTTTCGTGGGAGCATGTATTTCCATCTGTGGAAGATAAATCGCCAAGCTATCTCAACACCACCTATGTTCGTCAGAGATTGTGGATTTGCAGAGAGGGATCCAGACAAAAAAACTAGAGATTGAAGAGAACGGCAAATTGGATTTATGGAACCAGTACAAGTAATCTGATTTAAAATTAAGTTTCCCGCATATCACCACAATCTTAAAGTAGAATTCTATCGTTTTTGTATTTCACTTTACTTGAGATTTACAGAAAATCATGAGTTCCCCAATGTTTTCCTAAGAGGACACTTGTATTGTGATGTTCGATGTGTATGCAGCCCCCAAAAAAGAACAGAGAACAATCTCAAGGATTGAAGCTTTTCAGGGAATCTCCTGCTTGACTCCAATTGGAGATGTGGCCTTTGTAGGTGATATATACCAAAATCGTTCTTCTCTGAGGTTTCAAAAAGGTCAAATAAAAACGGAAATGGTCTGTTAAATTTAGCTGAGTCCTTCTCTGGCTGAAGGGTCATCTTGCAATGACCGAACAGAGTGATGCATAGAGAATTACTTGTGAGATTTGGATAGGTCGATCTTGTCACCCTAAGGAGCAAGACGATTTGGAGTTAGGTTACTGGGCAAATTATAATGATATGCTGGAGGTGTAATGAATCCAGGGCATGTCTTTGTCTGGCATCATCAGGGGAAAATACTTACCCTGGACCTCCCCTGGGAATCCCTTATTATCGATAATAGTGCAAAGATATCTATCATTTCGAAGTTATCTGCTCCGCATCTGGGTGTGCAGACAGGCATCTGTCTTTCTTACAGTCTTTGGCAGATTACGCGAGATAATCTCGATGTGTGATACATGTTGAATTTTTTTAAAAATCTTTTTGTCGCATTCATAATCCCATTCATGATTCCAAATCAATTTTAAACGCCTTCTGCTACATTTTTTTCGAAAAACCATGTCAGTTTTACGATTTTTGTTTTTACTGGATTCTCTCGGACCCAGCAGTAGTTCACTCTCACCCTCTACGCTGCATTCTGCTCAATATTATGGATTTTTTGTTGCAATGGATTCCTCCCTTGGTGGCGGAGATAGCTTAGTAGATTGGAGCTTATTTATTATTATGCTTTCATTTATTTTCATGTTATGGCCTCTCTAATCCAGAGAGCGTTTGAATATGTATTCGTTGACTCCCATACTAACACACGTTTCATCAAATGAAATCAGTCGCTATCCACTAGCATCGAAGGAGGAGCAAAATGGCTGGTCAACAAGCTCAAAGGTGCTGTTCTATGCCTGTTCATCATCTCCTAATGGCTTTAAGTTTCTTCCATCTAGCCAATTAGCATCTCAGATGGAGTTTACTATGATGATGTCCTCTTCTCCTCCTCTGCGTCAATCATTCGGCATAAACAAATGATCCTGGGATCCTTCCACTCTTCCATCCTGCGTCAATTAGCACCTTCCCCCTTTTTCTCACTTAGCAATGAAACTCAGATCCACCCACCAAAATCACCCATCTGGGTTCATCTTTATCAGCGTCAGTCTAAACACCGTCTGCTACTGTTTTTTTTCCATATCTGTCGGTTTTTTATTTTTATTCAAGTTCCATGAAAATCACCCATCTGGTTTCATCTTTATCAACGTGAGCTGACCTTCTGTCCTCTTCCTCTGAAACTCGACTCATAATCGGAGCAGGAAAGATGCAGAAGCCATTACCGGAGCTGCTGCAGGAGCACGACCTGCCGGCGGGCATCTTCCCCCGGGACGCCACTCACTACGAGTTCAATGAAGAGACCCGGAAGCTGACGGTCTTCGTCCCCTCCGTCTGCGAAGTGGGCTACAAGGACTCCTCCGTTCTCAGATTCCTGACCATTGTGACAGGGTACCTGGAGCAGGGGAAACTGGTGGACATCGAAGGGATGAAGACCAAGGTGCTCGTGTGGCAGAAGGTCACCTGCATCTCCACCGAGGGCTCCAAGGTCCACTTCACCACCACCCTGAAGAAGACCAGGAGCAGGGCGGCCTACGAGGTCCTCAGGGACGGCATCAGCATAGAGAAATTCTAACCTCCCGGTGATCTTCCAAGTACTGTGCTTCAATCCGATCCCACCATTGACTTATGTTTGCTATCCAGGCCGCCTCCATGGCGGCGATGCTGTGAAAAAAACGCTCCTCGGTTTGCTTAAATATAGTAATTACGACTGTGCCTCATCTGGGTCTTCCTGCAGTTTCTTGTGGAGTTCTTTGTTCATTCATCCATGGCAGATGAAGAAGAAGAGGAGAAAGAGAGAGAGAGAGAGAGAGAGAGAGAGAGAGAGGAAAAATCATGTCTTGTGGTCACCGTACCTTTTACCCATTAAAAAAAAATCTAAACGGGGGATGACCCACCAATCCCGAAATCTCCCATCCTTCCTGTCCTTCCGCGGGGGGGGGGGGGAGAGTGAGGGAGTGGGGAGGGGTTGGGGAAGATGGCGAGCCCCGTCCTCAAGACCTCCGTCTCTCTCTCTCTCTTACAGAGGCTTCTCTCTCCGCGTCCGCTCAAGCTCTCTACTTCGCCGACCCTTCCACCGAGAAGGAGGTCGGCGCCGGCGCCGGCGACCGCCGGAAGTCTGACCGTCCGGTGAGCTGATAAAAGCTTCTAAGATTAGAAATTCTCCCAAATGCCCGGGCTGCTCCATAGAACTCTCTACGTCGAATTAGCCACTGTCGTCCTCTTCCTTCGAATGCTCATTGTGCACAGCCTCCTCTTAGGGTTTTCTCTTTCCTACGAAATTCTTCCGTCCAATGTTTCCTCGGTGCAGCCGGTGGAGCTTCTCTGCGGTGAGGAAAACACCCGACTGTCCAATTGGCTGATTCTTTAACACTTTGGTTGAAGGTCGGAGGTCTCCTTCGCCACCGGCGCCCACCTCATCCCACACCCGAAGAAGGTACCTCAGATGGTTCAGTTTCTGCTTCCCCTTCGTAATTACCGTCTGGCCTCGAGAACTGACTGATCTCTGGTTCTCTTCCTCCCTCTCCCTCTGCCCTCAGGTTGGTCGCGGCGGAGAGGACGCCTTCTTCGTGAAAAACAGCCACAATGGAGGTGTTCTCGGCGTGGCCGACGGAGTCTCTGGGTGAGAATCCTTCGAGCAAGGAACTCCCTGGAAATGAAATCCCTAATCCATGGCGATGAAGACCTTCGTGCTCCTCCAAACTTACCTGTTGTCGTGCAGATGGGCTGAACGAAACGTAGATCCTTCGCTTTTCTCCAAGGAGCTGATGGCCCATGCTTCGAGCCTCGCGGAGGATGAAGAGGTGCCATCCCCATCCCTCTGTAAACCGAAGTTTCTCTCTCAATTGTGGAAATTTCTGAAGCTCTAGCTCATATCACAGGTCAGCAATGATCCTCAGATTCTTCTGGGAAAAGCCCATGCTGCGACTTCATCCAGAGGTTCGGCCACTGCGTAAGGTTCCCTAGTGTCTTTTCAATGGGTGCTGACCATGATGGATTCGATCTTCTTCCCACTACCCAGGAAAAAAAAATAATTAATAATTTTCCAAGGAACCCACTTGGATTCGAGAATTTAGCAATTTTATCTCTGGGTAAATTTTATCTGCGAAATATTTCTAGATTTGGCTTGATTACTGTGCATTCAGGACGATTTCAGCAGTTTCCCATGTCATCCAGGCATTCTATGCCATCTGATCGATACCCTTTCCACATGCTTCTGGGTCCTGAGGCATGATTCCCAATGACACTAGAGTGATTCGATCTTCTTCCCAGTACCCAGGAAAAAAAAATGTATAATTTTTCAAGGAACCCACTTTAATTCGAGAATTCAGCTATTTTTATCTCTGGGTGAATTTTATCTGTGAAATATTTCTAGATTTGGCTTAATGACTGTGCATTCAGGACGATTTCAGCAGTTTCTCATGTAATCCAGGCATTCTATGCCATCAGATCGATACCATTTCCACATGCTTCTGGGTTCTAATGAATGCTTATCCATTCATTAGAACATGCTCTGCTTCCCTTTCATGGCATTGAGTCATCCACTCTGCGCCTCTGGATAGGATCATCGCGGTGTTGGAGAAGGATGGGACTCTGAAGATTGCTAACGTTGGGGATTGTGGGCTCAGGGTTATCCGCAAAGGTGTGATAGTCCATGATTTTTTTTCCGTTTTTTTCTTGTTTAAGAATGAAATACCCCATGAAATTTTGTGATCAAGGAGATTGTTTGAAGTTTTGTCACTGACATGGCGAGTTGCTCGTCCCACAGGGCGAGTAATCTTCTGCACCTCTCCTCTGGAGCACTACTTCGACTGCCCTTTCCAACTAAGCTCCGAGGCTCTCACTCAAACATACAGCGACGCAGTGGTATGCATTTTTTTTAATGTTATTATTATTATTATCATCATCAATTCTAATTTAGTAATTTATTCTGTCAAGTTCGGTGTTTTATCTGTCAAGTTCTCTAAAGTGTGGTATGCATTATTTGAATGTTATTATTATTATTATTATCATCATCGATTTCTAATTTAGTGATTTATTCTGTCAGGTTCTGTAAAGTGTGGTATGCATTTTTTTGAATGTTATTATTATTATTATTATTATTATTATTATCATCAATTTCTAATTTAGTGATTTATTCTGTCAAATTCTGTGTGTTATCTGTCAAGTTCTCTAAAGTGTGTTCATAATAAAATAGTAATCAGATGAAGATAAGGGGCTCATAATCGAGATTCTGCAAAGATTTAACAAGAAAAAAAAATCGACAAATTCCTATTTTTCAGCATTATAAACAACTGTGGAGCATTTCTATTCTCCCATCGAATAAAATCTAAAGAAAGCTTCTCGGATCAGGTTTGCAGCGTGCGATTGACCGTGGGAGACACAGTCGTCGTGGGCTCAGATGGGCTGTTCGATAATGTGTTTGACCAGGAAATCGTTTCCATAGTCTCTGCATCGGATGATGTTGTTGATGCGGGTAGGCTCGGGGTGTTTGACTTCCACTGCTCTGGATAATCTCTCCGTTTTCTACCCTTTTTTTTTTCTTTTTTTTCACTCTAATTCGATCATTTGCTCTTACAGCAAAGGCTTTGGCTGATCTTGCAAGCAAGCATTCTTTGGACAGTGGGTTTGACTCGCCCTACTCCTTGGAGGCCAGAACCAGGGTCTGGGACTTTATATTTCTCCTAAAGTTTAATATTCCAACTTTCGTTTATATTTTAATTTTCCAGTCTGATTCTCCGAATAAATTTCTTGTATGAGGATGATGTGAAGCACGTTGAGGATCAGATCTACTCATTTCTTGAAGAAGAAAAAAATCAGAACCATATTTTTCTTATCCTGCATTTCTATTTGTGAGCAGGGGTTCGATGTTCCGGCTTGGAAGAAAGTCCTCGGAGGGAAGCTCACAGGCATGGTCTCTCTCTCTCTCTCTCTCTCTCTCTCTCTCTCTCTCTCTCTCTCTCTCTCTCTCTCTCTCTTTCTCTCTCTCTCTCTGCTCGTCATAGCACAAGCTGATTATTAAACCCTCTTCTCGTCATAGCGGGAGATCAATTGACCAGCTTTCTCCTTTGCAGGAGGCAAGCCGGACGACATCACCGTGATTGTCGGGCGAGTGACGAACTCCTGAAGGAGGGGAGCCATCTCCCCGCCTACAACAAATCCAATCCCTGTACTCTTTCGGAATGCTTCACTCATTCATGGGTACGAGTAGTACCCCTCATAATTACCACAATTAGCATCATAATCTCTCCCCCCTCATACATTGGGTTACAAAAGAATATGCCATAAACCCCCTCCCACCCCCTTCTAATTACAGAAATAATCGGCAGTCATCATCATCATCATCTTCTTCTTCTTCTTCCTAGGCGGCAACAAATTCATAGAAATGGGCATCTGAATCAATCGCAAAGTACAGCAGCATGGAGGGAAAAAAACGGGCGATTACTCCCAGAACTCGCGATCAGCAGCTGTGGGGAGGCGTAAAAGAGGAGTCTTTACCCTTTTGGAGAGAGCTCGCTCACTGGGTCCGGTCCCTGTTGTTGAGTTCTTGGAAGAAGGACTTGGATGACTCGTATGCTGACCAGCAGATGGCGGCGGCGGGCGCGTGGAAGAGCATCCGTGGCTTCCATCCTCTCATGAGCCCGCCATAGCCGTCCCTCTTCATTATAGCCCTCGCCACGGTCATTATCGAGCTGCTCGAGAATCTCTCACAGCCGCATACTCCCTGCATTATTTTTTTATTTTTTTTCGGGGGGAGGAGGGGGGGGTCAAAAATAGGAAAAATAGGATCAATAAATGAAGAGACGAGTAGCTGGATCTTCTCCAACCCACCCATTTACAGCCGTTGACCGTTTAACGAGAGGGAAAAAACGGCAGGGAGAATGATTATGATGACAGAACTAAATGACAGGGGAAGAAAAATAAGATAAAAGGGTTGACTCTGTGTGGGGAACCAGAGGAGCTCGTGGAAAAAATCCAAGGTTTTTGGGAAATCAGGAGTATTACGAGTTCACAGTTTCCATATTTTTTTGCCTCAAAGTCAACTGCAGAGACAGATGAACACAGAGAAAACTCTAAGAGAGGTAGGATCCATCCATTTTTTTCATCAAGAAACTAACATAGGATCTCTCCATCGTTGACCTAGGATTTCAAACTATGCCCCGGTCTCTGAGCTCCACCCATCAAGCTCTCATAAGCTCTGGCTCCATCGCAGCAGCTGCAGCCAAGAAATTTACAGATAAATTCACAGGGTTGTTGAAGAAGTTCCTAGTTCCTTGACCAGCTACAGCTCAATCTCTGCAATCCACTGAACAACCAATCACAGTTCATCGCTTCTTGCACTGCAGCCGCAACTAACTAAGCCTCAAAATCATCCCTCAAATCAAATAATTTCTTCATCAGAGTTCTTCTCGTCAGCTGGATTCTTCTCCTGCCTTCAATTTTCCGACTCCCCATCAAATCAAATTCTTCTTTTAATAATAATAATAATAATGAGCACCCTCCCCCCCTCCCCTTCCCTGCGCATCTACAATGCAATTCGCACGGGCTCAGTCCATAAACATACAGGAGCACCTCCCAAGAGTGGTCAGAAAATCGCTCAGGAAAGCTCCAGACTACACCGCTTAATCTTCAGACAGATAAATCTCCAAACCACTGACAGATTAGAGGGAAACAGATCAAACGACCCAATTTGCAGAACCCCACACAGTCCCTCATAGCAGATCCTTTTTTTTCCATCCTCGGAATCAAAACCCCAACACATCTACAGGAGCTTGGAGATGAACCTCCCAACCACCACCAGAATGAAGGCATGGAATTAAATACCCCAGAGCCTCTGCAGCAGCTGTAAGCCCCTCATTGAACAAGAGAGCTAGGGATGAACCACTGCTTTCTATTCCCAATGATTTTGGCATTCACAGAGACAAGGTTTCTTCCACGGCAACACAAAATTGTAGGTATCGAACAGATGTGGAGAAGAAGAACGGACAGAGAGGTTCACCTGGCACTGCAATTGGGTCTTGATCACATCCAGAGGAGTGGTAACAGAAGCCGCCAATGCACCAGCCGCAGCTCCAGCGGTGGCGTGAACCACCAGGCTCCCATCATCGGCGCTGTCGGGGGAGACCTCCGTCAAGCCCCTCTTGGCCGCCTCGTAGGTGGCGAAGTGGACGGCGGTGAAGGGGGCGTTCATCACCACCGTGGTCCTGTAGGAGGCGTAGAAAGCCCGAAACCCTTCTTCTCTGAAGACCCTCCCCACACAATCGACAACCCCCTTGTAGGGGCTGCTCCTCAGCTGCAGGCGCTGCTTCACCGTGTCCATCGGCGTGAACACTGCGTCACTGGCCACCGTCGCGAGAACCCCCGAAGAGGCGTGGGCTACTGGGTTGTTGGGGTTCCCCCTGGAGAGGAACTCCTTGGAGATCTCGTAGACGGAGAAGTAGACAGCGTGGGCGGGGCCTGCGCCGAGGCCCATGGCGCCGATCCCGCGGTAGAACCCGAGGGGGCCCTCGGTCCTGAGGATGGAGGAGACGGCTTGGCGGAGGCTCAGAGAGGGCTGGCAGGGAGGGGCCTGGGCCTGCATACGAGTCTTCACGGTGTCGACGGGGAACATGGCGGTGTGTTCCACGAGCCCGGCGATGGACCCGGCCACCATGAACTGCCAGAAGGAGAGGCCGTCGTGGGCGACTGCTACCTCCACCGCAGGGCCGGGGGATGGCGGGAGAAGGTCCTGGGGATGGAATTTTGGGGAGGCGTCCGCCATGGACCCCGCGGAGAGAGATATCCTCCTTGCGCTAAGGGCACCAAAAGGAATCAGGTTCCAGGAGGAACTGCAGCCATACAACAGACTACCCGCCCTCCGCCCCCTGCTAGAGAGAGAGAGAGATGACACGGAAAGGCGAAGATCGAAGCGTCGCGGGAGAGAAAGAGAGGAACTTTGCTCAGAGACCTAGGAATAGAGCCCGCCGCCCCCCCCGCCCCAAACCTTCTTCCGCCCCGTTGAGAATCAATTTTTTCTATTAGCAAAAATATATATAAATACTAAGCATGATTTCATCATCCTCACCGATAAATTAAATGGGGGAAATCGTCATTTACTAACTTGGTGACTACTAACCACGACCCATCCAGAGATATCAGGTGTGGGAAGAGAGAGAGAGAGAGAGAGAGAGAGCGTGAATTGCCCAAATTAGGAACTGAATGGGCTCAAGCCCAACCCATCTCATGGACTATGCTTGCTGATCACAACAAATGGGCAATTTTTAATGTGGTCAACGGAGAATATAATATAAACTTGTGATAATATAATACAATTATGAAAATCATCAGTTGGGTCTACGCTAAATATCTAACTAGATGTCAAGATGCGCGCCCGAACAGATCAGAACGTCAAACGCTGGTTCGCAGGCAATAAGAGACAGATGGCCGTTCTCGGGCTAACTGCCGGCCATGCGCATCCCCCATGAGACAACGAGACCACAGGGTCTCTCTCTCTCTCTCTCTCTCTCTCTCTCTCTCTCTCTAGATCCTTTGGTACCACGAGAGGCCGCCGGCGTGAAAGGGCACGGCTCCTGCTGTGAAGTCTCCTCCTTCCCACAGCCACCGCCCAAGTCAGATTCCGCCACATCGGGCTGCCACCCAGGTTACCGAGCATCATCCTCAACAGAGAGGGCGGTTGACTTTGCCCTCATAGTACCCAAGAACATCAGTCAACGACCCTGGCTCCACAAGCATAGATAGCATCAGATTATTATACCGGGCTAATCATACGGACGAAAAAGACAGAACAAAAACCACGGAAACCATGAGACCGCCGCCAAAAAAACACCAGAAACCACACCTCCTCCCTACTCCAGATTCAAAGAACCTCCCCCCACCCCAAGATGGCAACTTTCAGGAGCAGATTGGGGCTGCTAGAGGCGATGATGCCTTCTTCCCCGGCCTTCTTCCACCACCAATAACAAGGGGAAAGAACCCTCAAGGGACCCATCCATCCATCCATGGCAGAGAGAAGCTCCATCCTAAAGGCGTTGACTGATCAAAGGACAACAGCAGGAGGAGGAGGAGGAGGAAGAGTTGGAGCAAGCAAAAGGGCTCTGCGTGGGTTTCTACAGCTTGAAGAATATTCAGATGAGGATTGAAAAAGTAAAAAGAAAAAAAAAAAAAAAAAAGGAAGATTTAAAATGATGGATCAGAGATATGAAGGCAGTGGGGAGAAGAACTGCACTCACCTGAAAAACAATGCCTCAAACGCATCGGCAATTCGAAGATTATGCTCACCTTCCTCTATAAAACATGCACACGGTGCAAGATAAGATTAATCTCATGTTCTTCGATATGTAAAAGATCCCCAGCATTTGTAAAGAGTTCCCGGTTCACTGAGAAAGAGTCTGCAAGACCTACCTTAGCCATTTTGTTCGACTACAACCAATGAAAAGGGATAGAAATGTTTCTCTAGGATCACACTTTTTCGTGTTTTTAGTACATTTTCGGCGCGCTTCAGTATGGCCGGGATCGTTGCCCGCCATGGTGGTGCCTGTCGGGCCCAGAGCCTCCGTCGTTGTACTGGTCTCTGCGTCTGTCCCTGCCGCCACCGTAACCACCTCTGCCTCCTCTGCACCAAAAGACGATGGCAGATTCAGTTCGAGAGTAGAACCAGATTTCATACAAGAAACAGGGCAAAGGGTTCGAGTAATCCGATCATCTTATGCTAGATTTACAGCATACAAAGTGTGAGAAAGGGGGGGGATGACGAAAATAATCAAGAACAGTCTTCAATTTCTTCTTTTTTTTACTCTCAACTTTTGCAAGCTTATTAAAAAAATACACACCTTCACCCGTGATTTAAAAAAATACAAGGGAAAACTGACGAAAATAAATTATAATAGTTGTATAATATCTTTTCAGGCCATTTCTTATTAATCTATTTCAGAGACATGGAACGAAAGATTATGCAGTCTCCGATGGATTCCAATCTAGTTTCAGCAAATCATTGATCTTCAAATGCACGGTTTGTATTTGAAATATCATCCGGATTTGATCTCAGAGCACGATTAGGACTTCGAAATCGAGCATCCAAAATAAATCTAGCCGCCGCAGCAACATCTACTGAGGAAGTAGCACCGGGAGTACAACATCCATGCAAAGATGTACAATCAGGCAGGTAAAGGGACCCCAACACGTATGCTTCAGAACATATCCCGGAAATAGCCGAAATAAGGGCAATGCATATCAACTTAAAAATCAATTTTATCCATGCCCAAATGCACAATATATAGACCCAAAATAGGAATTGTGACCCAAATGCACAATATAGCTAAATGGTCGTCATGGGGAACTTAGCTTCCGTTTGGGTATGCTTTGCTAGGATTCTTCTGTTGCATGTCCAGCTCTTTCTGGAAAAAGTATTATCCTCTATACATATGAGGTTGGCAGTGAGCTGGGTGCACCTAGGACGGCGGAATGCTAGGAACCAGGCCCATCTCGTACAACAGGCAAAGTCATTCATTTTAAGAGATTCCTCTGTGAAAGTTTAATCCTCAATCCGCCTCAACTGAGCGTTTTGGTAAATCATGGATTCTGTGGAGTAGAAGGAGGTCCCCCTCATAACATATGCGCCATGCGCCCCCTGAAGTGGAAAAAGAGAAGAGTGACTAGCTGGGTAGTGCCTCGGATTGGACACATTCTAAGAGGAACGGACTGTGAGAAAGTGGGCATCCCCGAGTGGAGAGTGGACCTAGGGTTTTGTTCTACATTTGACAGTAGATAATAGACCTGAGAATAATATAAGAGCTAACAATGCGAGATCGATATCATCTAACATCTCCCCAAGATCAATGCTCTCTAATTGGATGGCTTCACTCTCACCAATATCAAAAGCAGCAAGGGGCCGCTGACCATTTTGCCATCAGAGGCGTCAGCGACCTTAAATCAATATTTGGCTACAACTAGCTGGCAGAAACTAGCATCAGACGTGGAATTATAATTCAGGAAAGACATTATATTTCATAATTGCCCAGCATCTCCAAAGATACACGTACATAATAACTAAACATATTATGTACATAATAGAAATACATTTACAACTATTTTACTTGGACTATGAGGACAGTAACTCTATCCAAGTCCACGAACCTATACTGCAAACTTTATTTTTCTTCTCTTTGGTTGTCATCTAAACAATCAGCTCACAATAATAATGAACCAATTCCTGGCCACAGACGAATCTCATGAGGAGAAAACTCTTCAGACACAAATCCGGGTCCAGAAACAGAAGTTCCAGTTGAATCCATCTGACGCTACAAATCAAACGTGAGACAGGCCCATTTATAACTATGAAATAAACCATTGTGTCTCTCCACGGTACCAACCATTAACAAGATCAAACATTTTCTACACCATATATGTTTCTTTTGAGAGGGACTTGTCGTTGGAATCTGAACACGACTAGTGACAGAGGAAGCACAAAGAACCTCGTAAAACCCTGCAGGAGCACGCATCTAACTGGAGCCACACACTAGGGGCTTTAATATGGCAAGAAATAATACTGACATTTTGTTACACGTGCAGCTTCTGGAACTTTGTGCAATCAAAGACTACACAATCTAATAAAAATGTTCATGATGACAACTTTTCATGCATCCATCAAAAATATAATTGTTTTCTGTCCAGATCCAAATCAAAACTAGCACATGACCATAACAATAAGAAACGAAAAGGAACGAAGCATGAATTGCACCACATCCAAAAAAGTCAGTACTCCACATAAACTTTAAAGGTATCATTTACATCACAATCTTGCGTAAGAGCAGTTAGCTCCTACGCGAACTGTCACATGATCTCAGTGACATGCCATGTGATCGAAATGAATTCAAAATTGATGGGAGCCAAGAAAAATGAACGAGAAGATGAGAAAAACCTCTAAGAGATGAGTCAACGATGCCCAAACACAGAACCATGCCACTCGTGCATAAAAATATCTAAACAAATGGAAAACCAGAACCATGATGCAAAACTTAAAGCATTAATTATGAAGCCTTTACTGCATGGAGTTAAATTCCACGTTTTCATAACATTGCCAATATGGATCTATTGTAACATTTTCTGAAATCCGAAACAAACCCTTCAATGATTACCGCCTATCTTAACTTTGTCAAACTAAAAGATTACAATATACATAGCCTCGCACATGAATCGTGTTAATGAACGAATACTCAGACTTTTCACACGCATCAAGAAACAGTAATGTCATCAAGGGCATTTTTCTCAGAAATCATGAATACACAGCGAAGGATAAGACCAAGAATTGAATGCGTGTTTGATGCTTTAGAGTTTTTACCCATGACCATAAGCAGGAGCTCTAGGTGCTGATTTTTCGGCCATTGCGACACCAATTTGATAGCCCCTCATGTCATAATCTAATAAAGGAAATATATCTTAAGTTAGGCAATGCTTGGTGGTTCCACCTACCCTACATGACAAGCTTTGCTATCTACTTACTGTTAAAAAACCCTCCAGCAGAGTGTGCAGCAGATGGATCCTCATAGGACAGACATGCATCTCCTTTATTCTTACCATCATCGTCAGTGTATATCTTTATATTCCATGGCCACTGATCCTTGTAACCACGTTTCTGCTTGATCCTTCCAACCTAGAAATAATGTAAAGAAAACACATAAAAATATTAGAGAATGATAGAGCAAATCAATGAAATAGTATTCATCCAGAGAGCAAACAAATGAAACTTGAATGTGTATTCCTTTAATGTTCAAACAAAGGCTCCAAATAAAGGGTCAATCAAATCAATCAGACCAGCGGAAAAGCACCCAAGGAAAAATGCAGATGACATGAAACTCGAAAAGAATACGCTTGATAGGAGTTTGTGATGCCTTCAGTTCATTGGCAACAGGAGTTGTGTAATTTTCTGCAGTGAAAAAGTCTAGAATAACATACGATTGAGGAAACACATTCAAGAAATATGCCACAAAACATTTGAGAAATATTCATAGGAAGAAAACTAACAACTTTTAAAAGGACCTATTGTAGACAGAATGAAGAATAAGCTAAATGTAATTTAAATTTTATGAAAAAGAGGGACGTAACAGAAATAAAAAAAAATAGTGGAAGCATCAAAAAGCTTAGAAAAGAGAAATATCTTTTCTGACTCGGAAAGGAATCCCTGGAGTAGCAGCATCAAAAACAGGTACAGTACGTAAAATCATTTGGCATAGTTTTAAAAAGTGCGAAACAAAACAAGAAGATATTTTATTACGATACAATTTACAAATTTCGAATGGGGCAAAGAAAGAAATTAGGAAGACAGAATGGGACTTGAAGACAAGCATGAAAGAAGTTGAAGCAGCAGTTAATGGTGTAAAATGTCGAACATAAATATGGTATACGATAGCACCCAATAGTGTAGTGGCTCATGTCTTCGAGAATCATTAGATCAGATGAGAAAGACAATGATGACTCTAAGGCTGGTAGATAGAAAGCATGGTAAGAAATAGAAACCTCATCAAACAAACAGACAGTAAGGAAGATAAGAAATTTTACCTGTCCAATGCCTCCAAAAAGATCCCTTAGCTCCTCAGTGGTGACATCTGGTGGCAAATTTGAAATATAAATTCGTGAATTGTCGCAAGTTTCATCGCAGTTCTCATCACACTGCTTGATCTTTGTTGAGGACTCAACGGGAGCAGAACCATATCCACCACTGCCACCACCCCTACCACCGCCATACGGTGGGCCGCCCCCACCAGCATCTGGTCTGGGAGCTGGCCTAGAAGCAAATCCACCATTGTATCCAGAAGCTGGAGCGCCTCCTCGACTTCCAGAACCGTCACCAGCATAAACGTTTGGAGGCGGTGCACCATATGTCGGAGGATATGGACTGGGACCACCGTAGCTAGGCTGTGACGGTACGGGCTCCGAACCATAGCTAGCGCTCCCACCATAGGCATTCGGAGCAGGGGGGTAGCTCCCAGCTGGGCCTCCATATGAAACCGGACCAGGTGGAGGAACTTGACCATAACTGCTATCGTCTCTTCCTTGGCTATTTCCATAAGAGCTTCCTCTTTCTCCACTGTCTTCCTGACTCCCTCCGTAACCACCACCACTACCACCTCCCCTACTATATCCCCCACTACCGTCGTAATCACCACGGCCCCTACTAGAATAACCATCACTTCCCCCAACAGGTCTGCTAGTATAGCCACCACCTCCCCCTCCCCCTCCACCTCCACCACCTCCTCCTCCACGGTTAAAGCCACCGCCGCCACCTCCACCACTGCCAGGGTTCGGAGCACCACACTTATTACACTCAGTTCTTCTAGCAAAATTCACGTTACCACAACTGTTCACGTAGAAGATGCATTTGACAATTTGAATATTTCGCTACACTAGCAGAGTCAAGAAAACGAACAACCCGAAACGGGAAAAAGGCATACTTTGCATCTGGGCAAACCCAGTCTCCTTCTCGCCCAGCGCGACCGCCGCCGCGACCCCCGCCGCCGCCACCACCGCGGTATCCTCGATCGCCACCTTGATATCCGGCGCCGCTACCTCGATCGCCGCCTTGATACCCACCCCCGCTCCCTCTGTCGCCGCCTTGATACCCACCCCCACTCCCTCTGTCGCCGCCTTGATATCCACCGCCACCATACCCACGGCCACCCCCTGCAAACAAGAATCTCAGCGACCATCCCCAGATCGTCCCATCGAGCGCTTAACCAGAAAACAAATGAAAAAAAAAAGAAAAGGGAACAGAGGAGCGAACCGCGACTTCTGCCGCCCTGCGGGTTCCCGTATCTGCCGCCACCTCTATCGTACCCGCCACCACCACCTCCCCGCGGCGGAGGACCGACGTCGTCTCCGACGGCACCGTACGCGCCAGACATGATCTAGGGTTTCCTCTCCGACGACAAAGCTATCTCCTGATCGACGAATGGGCAGCACGAAAGCTGAAGACGACTAAGAAATGGCCTCCCAGAGGGTACAACAAAATCGGATCCAATAACCGGGAAACCGCCTCGACCCACCCGGTATTTATACGAGCCGCACGATCGTCATCGGTCGGTTCGAGAATCCTTTCGCAGGATCCGCTTACAAAAAAGTATAAACCTAAATAAATTATGTGCAATGCTAAATATAAATTAACTTTATTCTGACGAGTTTTTATACATAAGAAGGCATTTAGCGTTTGGTAATGGGCTTTGAACGTACTTTGTCAATTTGGCCCGACCCATTGACATCCTTATAAGCCCATGTCCCAGCCCATTTCATCCAGTATTGCCCCAGGCTATAATGGACTCATATTGGGCCTAAGCTTCGGCCTGATGACCCCCGCACAGAGGTACGCAGAATCATCTAACCGTGATTGAATATCCGCCGTCTGATTACTAACCTTCTCTCTCTCTCTCTCTCTCTCTCTCTCTCGCTGCATATACATATCATTTCCTCAATTATTTATCGACCGCCTATTACTTAAATCATCTTTGTTGTGTCCCCACACTTTTTATTAATGCCTTTATACTTTTGCCGTTATTATACACAAATCCTCATCACCGGCATTATCGCCTAGTGGCATATTATATAAAAGCCTCATCAAAACAGCCACTGTCACCACCAACCTCACCATTAGGTCCTTCAAAAGTCCTCATTTGTTCGGCTAATAACCTCATCACCACCAGTAGCGTCGTTGCCGCCTCGACTAATTACACTAAAGTCATCGGCTAATTATTCAAAATACATTATTATCCTCATAATTCGCTAAATTGTTAATTTATGCAATTTATTCAGAAGAGGGGCGGGGAAGAGGGTCCCCCCATCTGAGGCGGGCTTATCCCCTTTGTCTTCTTCCTCGCTGCCGGTGCCTTCACCGGTTGCAGAAGCCCCAGCGTCTGGGCATCGCTGAGCTGTTCTCCACGTGAACGAGCCGACGGCCGTGCGTCCTCCGGAGGAGAGAGGAAGAGAGGAAGGAGATCTCTTCTTCGGCCAGCTAACTAGGAAGACGACAGAGAGCTGAGTGGAATATGGCCTTCATGGCCACGGAGAGCTGCCATTTCTCTTTCCTGTCCATGGCAGAAGTTTGAATGCTGATAGTGACGCGAGTGGATCGCTTTTCCCCGGTGGCGGAGGCATATCCACGAGGGGCGCGCGGCGGCCACGCGCGTCGCCGGGATTCCTCCGCCGCGGGGTCAATTTCGGCAACCCGTCGTCGCGCGTTCCTCCTCTCTCGTCTCATCTCTCCGTCGTTGACTGGTCTCTTCCTTCCTGGGGAGGGATTGGGGTTAGTTTCTCGTTCGACAGTGGAAAGCTTGCGCAGATCGGCGGTGATCGGAGGGGTAAGAGAGGAAATCTGTGAGAGTTATAGGGTTTGGAATATGCAGGCCGGGGGGAAAGAGCAAGGTAGAAAAAGGGGAGGATACTTTTAGGGTTCCTGATCCATGGCGGTGGGACGGCACGAGCCTTCCACACGCATATCCGAGAGGGCGAACCAGAGCTGTACACGTGTCGGCTTCTGACGCCCCACATCCTCCTCCTCCCTCCCTCCCTCCCTCCCTCTATATCTAAGTGCCTCCCTTCCCCATTTCCACCCAGGCGAGCTCTACGGATCCATCCCTCTCCTCTCCTCGCCGACATTCCTGAGTCCTGTTGTGTAGTCTTTCTCCTATCCTGGTGGGCGAACGCACACGGAGAGGCGCCATGCTTCTGAAGGCCTCTTCTGCTTTGTCCGCCCGTCCCGCCCCCTCCGAGGCTGCGGCGGCCTTCTCTCCTTCTTCCTCTCCTCTGACCTCGTCTGTTAGGCTCTCGCCGTGGAGGACGAGGGATGGACGAGGAATGGTGGCCATGGCGGCCAGCGATGCCGGCAACCGCGCCCTCACTGGCGTGGTCTTTGAGCCCTTCGAGGAGGTGAAGAAGGAGCTCTCCCTCGTCCCATCGGCCCCTAACCAGTCACTGGCCCGCCAGAAGTACACCGATAACTGTGAGGCTGCCATCAACGAGCAGATCAAGTATGAGCCACCACGATCTTCTTGATGTGTTTATGGACTTTTTTTTTCCTATTTTCTACTCGTTGCAGACTTCGCCTTCTCTTGCTCTGTTTCTTCGTTCCTCTGTTGCGACCTTTCCGGCGGTGTCCATGAAAGTATAGATCTGAGAGTATCCTTTTCGGCTTTTGAAGAATCTTTCTTTCCCTGTTCTTCTTGATCTCTGGGTTTGCTCTTCGACATGATGTTCAAATTTTCTTCCGATGACTGACCCGTCTGCGTTTTTTGGCCCTGCGTTGAATCTGCAGCGTGGAATACAACGTCTCCTATGCCTACCATGCGCTGTTCGCCTACTTCGACAGAGACAACGTCGCCCTCAAAGGCCTCGCCAAGTAAATCCCGAGAGAACAGAGCACCCCTCTTTTCTGCCCATCCAGATCTATTTCTGATCACCTTCGTCTGTCTCTCAGGTTTTTCAGGGAATCGAGCGAGGAGGAGCGTGAACATGCCGAAAAGCTGATGAAATATCAGGTGCTCGTGAATGAAATCCCTCTTTTATTTCACTGCGCGGTCTCTGAATCGTTTTCTTTTCTTTTCACTGCGCGGTCTCTGAAATTTTTCCTTTCTTTTCTTTAGAACAAGCGCGGTGGTAGAGTGAAGCTTCAGTCCATTCTGATGCCCCTTAGCGAGTTCGATCACGAGGAGAAGGGAGATGCGCTGTATGGTAAGAGCTACAAGTTCTCCGAGAAATTGGCATTGCTTTTATGATTTCTGACTGCCTAATGAATGCTCGATCGTTGTTCTTGTTCAGCGATGGAGCTCGCTCTGTCCCTCGAGAAGCTGGTGAATGAGAAGCTTCTTAATCTACACGGGGTAAGGGGCCTCGAGCTACATTGATCTCTGCTCATCGGAGAGTGGGTGGGTAGCTCCTTCATCCCTGCTCTTGCTCACCTTGTCTCCCTCCATTGGGCAGGTAGCAACGCAGCACAACGACGTTCATTTGGCCGACTTCATCGAGAGCGAGTTCTTGGAAGAACAGGTAACGAGAGCATCCTTCTGTGATTTCCTGCACCCACCCAGTTTCTCAATCTGATGAATCTCCCACCCGCAGGTTGAAGCGATCAAGAAAATATCCGAGTACGTGACTCAGTTGAGGATGGTCGGCAAGGGACACGGTAATATATATTAAATTTGAAAAAAAAAAAACACATCACGAGCGATCATTTCCCCTTTCGGCATTCATTCATTCATTCATTCATTCGATCTTGGAACTGGTCTGGTCAAATGGGTTTAATTTATTATTGGGTGGGTATTTCGTGTTTTATTTTCCAGGAGTCTGGCACTTCGACCAGGTGCTTCTTCGCGAGGGCGATGCTCTATGAACGAGGCACGGACGGGGGGGATGCTTCCTCTCCAAATAACTGTTTAGGGTTTTCTTCGATGTTTTCGTAGTTAGCTGGTTGTACTGCTCTCCGCTAATAAAAAGACAACCGGAGGTGCGCTTGTAAAACGGTTGACCTTTGAATCGAGCTGAGCCCAGAACCTCGAAGTCAACTCCATGAAAATGACGACATCAGACCTTCAACACACAGTCTGCTCCGAAAAGCCGGGAGATGATGCATATATTTTGTGGCGTAATGTGATGATATTACCATAAAGTTCAGAAGATGCTGACTTGAACGCAGATGAATCGATCTAAGAACCGATTTTTCATTATTTCTTAATGGCAGAATTTTTAGCAGAGGATGATCCATTTCATACGACGACTTTTGCTTGAGAATAGTCGCTTATTTTTAGAGCTCACCAGGACGTAGAGTCCAATTCGGACGCTCCTCCTTATCTGGTCAAAATCGAATTGGATCACCACATGTTATATGGTCAAACCCTCTCCAGAATAACCTCCTTTTTTCTAATGGGTTGACTCTTTGTCTCGCTCTGCCCTTTTAACGCAACAGCTACTTCATCAGAAGGACAAAAGGTTGACTTTACAGCTCTGTTTTTTTCATACATCATCATTTTTCAATGCCATATAATAATTAAATAAAAACTAAAAACAAAATAATAATGGGCGATATTTTCATTTGTTGACTATTAATCAACTATCGCCAGAGTATTGAGCTAGGTATGTGACCCACCGACCATTTATCTCTCATTTATTGCCCAGAAGTCAACGCTGCCTCCGATCGAGTAGCTTTGAGGAATTTATGGAGAATATTGGAGTATATAAGGGTAATAAATAATTAGACATGTTTTATAGGATCTAAGACTTTAAATGTTTTATTAATTTAATATTATTTTATAATAAGAGTTATTTTTTGGGGAGCGTAGGCACAGAAAGTAGCCGTGCCATTCAAGTACTCTCTTTCGGTCGCGAATTTGCAGCATTGAAGGATCTGCCTTCTTCCAGCGCACCGCTGTGGCTTGCAGGACGGGGAAAGGGCTCTCCCCCCTCCCCTCTCGTTCTAGGGTTAAGGATGACGCCGAGTGTCCGCTCGTCGGGCTCTCTGCTCCTGATCGGACTGTTGGTGCCTTGGCTCATATCGGCTTCCAATGCCGCGGAGGAACAAGTCTTCGATGTCCGTCGGCATCTCTCCACCGTTACTGGGTGGGTGTCTCTCTTGCTTTCTGCCTTGCTCAGCGGGGATTCAGACATCACTGCCTGCGATTTAGTTGGCTGTAGTTTGATCATAATGAAGCCACGCCGGGTATATGCTCCATTCATCAAAGAGAATGGCGGGAAGCAGATTTACTGTTTTCCTATGTTCGTTAATAATTCATGGGTATCGTTGCATCTCTTTAACACGAGAGGAAGAAAACTATCTCACGAGGGGATCATGGCTCCAATTCAAGATTTAAGGGTGGTTAACATTCTTTTTTTTTTTAATTGGCCGTTCAACCGTATCATCTTTATCGATGATTCCTCATACTTGTGACCCATCAGTAGAATCTAGGCTTTCCTCCTGCAGTGGTTTCCGGGAAGAAACTAAAAGTTGTCTTGTACTCCGCCAAGTTGGTTCTAGTTTCATGTTCGGGTTGTCTGATTTATTGATTTAATCTTTCGTTCATGTAGATATTCTGCTGCAAGAAACGTTTACGATGGGACGTTTGTGAATTCTTCAGTTCCTGATGGTTGTAGTGCAGTTCACTTAAATCTTGTGGTACGTTTCATATTAAATACTCAGTTGCTTTATTATTGTAGCCGACTTCCGAAAGTCATTCTATCATGAAATTAAGTATTTACCATTGGAAGATGAATATTCAGTGATCACCTGGTTGGTGCTCATCAATTATCTCCTGTTGCTTTAATGACACATGGTAGAATTTTTTCCCAAGAAATAATGTCTTTTTTTATACTGGAAATCCTTTATTTTCTTAATTTCCTGTGTCCTCCAATAGAATGAATAAAATTAGCGTATTTATTAAAAAAATATGCCAATTATTCGGTCCCATCACAGCTGCATGCATAGATTGACCGAGCGAGAATTTTTTTTCCGTATGGCATATATTTCTTGTAGTTGAATCATCAACTAAACCCTCTTTTCTAAGTTGATATGTATTACTAGAAAAATATCTAACCGTTTCATAGTTTTTCCAAAATGCAAAAGTTAATAATTACTGGTCGTGCCTATTGGAGTAAGGATGTTCAGGAATAAGTTTATGATTGGCTGAAGTAAAAACCACTCCAGTCTCAGGAGAGAACACATGGTACTTTCAGACCACGTGCAGAGCCGGGGCTAGGCCTTTGGTACCCTACTAGCATCTTTCTCTAAGACTAAACTTGTTTATCATGAGCAGGCCACACTAAATGAATACGTTGTGTGATGGCTATCTCCCAAAACACTGTGCTATGTACTGTATTGGAGCAGACTGAAGGCAACAGATGCTTGGCTGAGTATGTGTAAGCTGTGCAAGATATCTATCGATGTGAGGCCTCAGGGCAGGCTCCTTTTATTGGTTTACTGTTCAGAAAGATCGATTTTCGTATCACTCAATCTCTAAGCTGATGGGTTCAGCAGCAATGAAGTTATTTTCACCCCACCATTCTTGTTTCCTTCTTTTAAATTTGAGGTTATATGCTGTGTGCTCTCTTTTCAGTGACTGATGCATAAACATAATATCTGGAGCATGTTTTACTGTTTCAATTGCTTCTGATTGAGGAGCGGGACTATTGAATTCTGATAATTTGGAACTACAGGCAAGGCATGGGGCCCGTTCTCCTACAAAGAAACGTATTAAAGAATTGGATCGATTGGCAATTCGTTTGGATAGTCTTCTAAAAGATACTAAAAGAATTACAGGAGAAAACGGATTGGGCTTGCAGAAGATACCATCCTGGTTATGGGATTGGCAATCTCCTTGGAAGGGAAGGGAGAAAGGAGGAGAGCTCATCCAGCGAGGAGAGAATGAGTTATACAACCTCGGAATCAGGATCAGGGAAAGATATCCTGATTTGTTTGATGAGGAGTACCACCCTGACACTTTTAATATACGAGCAACACAGGTATACTCCATTCCTACGAGTCTTCTCTTAGTTCATCTACCCTATAAAAAATGATGTCCATATATTGACTTTCATCTTAGTTTCGAAAGCATGGCAATCACGTTTGGCGAACGTCATTAGGAATTTTCTCAAAACAAGTGTGACCTTGTGATCGAGTATATGGATCGATAAATGACAGAATATAACCTTGTGGCAGGGTCTGCTGTGGCTAGAAAAAAATGCATCAAGAAAGGAACTCCATCGTATTGGTTTCATTGTCTTCTTTTAATCAAGGAATAAAGTAGTGACACCTTCCACAACGATGATTGATAGCCGTTGAATGCTTGCATAGAACAGAAAATCCTGAAATAAACAGACTTTCGGCCACTATGATGGATTTCTTTGGTCTCTTCTGCTAATCAAGGTATATTATGATCATAATTAACAAGTTGCTTAAGTGCAGCTAACTCGACAGCACCATTGGTTGGCATAGGTAATGGAAAGCCTTACTGATTTTTGGAAAGTTGGTACCTTTGAAGAGTTTGGCTTGGGCTAAACTTAGGTCTCTAGTCCCCCATTTCCTGTGCACTCAATATTTCAGTGTTTAAACAGTCTAACCCCCCTTCTCCCACCACCATCCTTCCTCCATTTCTCCTGGTTCCATGCTGTCTTACACCGCAGACTTCTCGCCGGCCACTCATTTCTGACGTTCGCTTACTATTTGTCACTCATAGTTTCGTTGGCAATCTTTAGTCTTTCACTGTAGGTTTGACCTCTCTCCAGCCTTCCCTTCACTGTCTCTCGTCTGATGCGCCCATACCCTCACACCCCCATCACTGGTGCTAATAGTTGATACCACACATTCTAGAGATGTTCTTTTCTTTCTCTTGATTTTCTAATAAACTGCAGTACCATCAAATTAAGGCAACGAGTCTACAGGTTCATATTGACTTTCAGAATTTACGTTGATTACCATTAACCAATTCAATCTATATTTCAGCCACTTTCAGAATATATGATTTAAAAATAAATAAATATACACATATACTTTATCATTGTTTTAAGTTCTTTCGTAGTTTGTTTCCTTATGACCAAGTATTTTATATTTTCTTGGTTCATAAGAATTGATCCAATAGTTCTGGATATGATGCTTGTGTGACTTGCATCTGTTCTTTAATAATGCAGGTTCCTCGAGCATCTGCAAGTGCTGTAGCATTTGGCATGGGGTTGTTTTCTGGGAAAGGAAATCTTGGTCCAGGGTCTCATCGTGCCTTTTCTGTGATCAGTGAAAGTCGAGCAAGTGACATATGGTTGAGATTTTATGAATCTTGTGAAACATACAAGGTAAGGATAGTATTTTAAAGAATGTATTTTATTATTTTTATGCAGACCCTTGGGGCTCGTCAGATCTTCACTTGATATATAAATGAGTTGCCCGCTAATTTGAAAAGAGGAAGAAGAACTGTATGGGAGGAGTGCTATCCAATTTGTCTATCTAAATGCTTAGAATATTGCTACAGTTTTTTTGAAATAAGTGTTAGCATTCAGCATATGTGAATAAGAGCTATAGTGTTAGTAAATAAGTGCTACAGAATTTTATTCAACGATTCAATTATCATTAGACCAGAATTAGCTCATCTGATTTTTCTTCTGCAACTCTCTGTCACTTTCCTAATTTTCTTAATTCAAATTCATGGATTTTTATGTTCAATGAAAATTGAAACAATGGGATGACGTTTAGAGTAAGTGTTCCAATTGAGTCCTGGAAATTCCATAATGAGCTAATTTTTGGCAACCTTAATCTGCAAGTAAATTATATCATGGATATGAAGTTGAATATTGTTAAGATATCCTTCTACGAAATGTCAGGAGTTATGGCAATGGAGTCAGAGTTATCAATTCAATCATTATTGAAATGTCAAAATTCATAAAATGGCATCGGAGGACACTTTTAGTGTCTAAAATATATGGACATAAGGACTACTGTTGAGTATCAGTCGTTTGTTGGATTCTGAATTCCTGGATACTATATGGTTGTAGTGAGCGGACTATGTATCTTGATGCCCACATGGGACTAAGCCCCAGAATTTCCAGTCTCACGTGTGTTAGGTGACCACTTTTTCTAGTCTTATGCGAATAATGGCTAGACTTCAAATCTAAGAGTAGTCATTTGTTATTCAGGCTACTCGTGCTACAAAAAATGTTTCTGTGGAGTCCCCAGTCTTTTGGGAAAAAGCATCCCTTTAGTATTTGTGCGGTGTTAGAAGTTCTTGCTGAAGGAAATTATTTGACCAAGGTGGTCCTATATGAAAGCTTTTGGACCTTATGAATTCAATAGTTTTCCCCTGGTTTTTGGGAATATAAAGTGTTGGGGCGAGCATCTTGTTTATTGAAGCACCTGCAAAATGAGGATTGAGTAATGTTACCCCCAACTCTAGTTTTTCCATCAAGAAACGGCGATACATATGTGGAAAATGAGGATTGAACAACTCTAGTTTTTTACATACGTTATCTTTTAGGTTTTTATTAAGGTATTTGTAGCAAATACCTGGCACAGTTGTTTTTTCTTTTCATATATATTTTCATTGTTCAGGAATATAGGAAAAGTCAGGAGCCGGCTGTGGATAAACTTAAAGAGCCAATTTTAAATGAAATCACATCTTCATTAACCAGTCGTTACCAGTTGAATTTTACGGTGCAGGATATTGCTTCCCTGTGGTTTCTCTGCAAGCAGGTAAAAGTCCAGTCACCTATGTCTTGTTTGGGAACGCCCTTTCTAAATTTGGCATATTTGATTTTTGACCACTTATCTCATGCAGGAAGCTTCTTTGCTGGACATCACTGATCAAGCCTGTGGTCTTTTCAATTCTAATCAGGTACTTGCTGTAATGACCCTATTATGATTCAATTTTATAGTTGTCTTATTTTGTACTTAATTATCTGGTTATGCTCCCCTGAGAAAATACAAACAATTAAGCCTATGGGATGGGAAATTGCAGCGCAGGGAGGATAACCAGATACCGTTTTGGTAGATTGAACAAGAAATCTATTGATCAATTTATTTGAAAGAGCCATATATCCTACTATGAATTTTGGTTCTGTTTGGAAGATCGCTTGCTAGATACATGGAATGCATGCTATTTAGAAAGAAAAAAATACTAAATCTTGTGTAACCAACGGATAATAACCTTAATCTTGCTTACAACTATTTCTGCCCTCTTAAATGGTCGCTTTCTTCAGCTTGTGTCTAATTCAACCAAAAAACATTCGAGATATTATTTCTTTTTAGCTCATTGACGTTTTTCTTTGTAACTTGGTTTTCGATTTGATCTTGTGTGGTCCTACTACTACTTTTCCTCAGTATTTACAAATCGGACATTGTCAGAGCTCCTGTATTTTAGTTTAGTCCATCCTAACAATTTGACAATTGATTTGATTTTTAGTGGTTCTAATAATGTTTCACCTCAGTATCATCGCCACATATACTTTATTTACAGTGTGACTTGCATGGAGTTTGATTTATCATAGCTGTCTCTATTGATACATATTTTTCTATCATTGTGGAAGTGTTTCCTTTTGTCCTTTTGCCAAGTATCTTCACCAAATAGTAATGTACCTCGTAAAACATCAATGCATACTATTAAATCACAACAACTTGTCCTCGCAGAAGAGTACACAAATTATAGTTCCTTGTCATTTTCATGTCAAATATATCTCAATTTTACCACGATGCTATTTCTTTTTGTATTGACGTCATGATGGCGTAGTTTGCATTTGCAGTAAAATCATAGCGGACACAATATTTATACAAAGAATGGGGCACTCATAGAGTTCCGGCCTTGTACTATAGCTTCAGCATGCTTTCAAATCAGGAATTTAATTATTTCAGTTAGTACAAACAGGGAACTTTTTTCTGTTTGTATTAAACGGAAGGTGATAAATGTGAGATTGTGGTTTTCGTAGCTCTTTCTTTTTTATTAGATGAAAAAAATCAATATATTCTGTAATTGCTGCCCTACAAGCTGTGATATGGTTTTTCTAGGTGTCCTTACTTGAATGGACAGACGATTTGGAGGTCTTTGTTCTCAAGGGCTATGGCGAAGCAGTAAATTATCGTATGGGCATACCATTGCTTCGAGATGTTGTGCAATCAATGGAGCAGGCCATTCTTGCTAAAGAAGGTTTGATATTTTTTTGGTTGTTATCCTCAACTTCAACTTCTGTGTATACCTCTCTCAATATCCTTCTTAGGACTTAAGACTCTGGGGTCTTGAACAATGCTAAGGTTCCTATTCTTTTTTTATTTAATATACGTCTGGGCCAAACTGCAGAAATTCTATCTGACTGCTTTATTTTCTGTAAAACCTTTATGATTGCAACTTGGTAGCTTATGGCAATGAAGCTGCTTCATTTTATCCGGTAATGACTAGATCGCTCATACAGAGATTGTTGAGTCAATCCTGGGCCAGCCATAATTGTACTAGTCAATTCAATCATAATTTTGATAACTAGGTGAAGCTTTTCAAAAACTCGTATGGGAGGCAGGTGGGTTGTCCAGATAGTTCTGCCTTAGTCTTAAGTCATTGTCGATGTGTGAACTTACAGCTCGTGTGATTTTTTGTCTTTTAATGATGACATTCTTCTTATTTGATTGCAAGATCATTTTCTTCACTCTTGTCTTTGCTGCTGAAGTTTACATTTATGTATTGATGAACGAAGCTGTTTTTTTAAGTCTAGGAAGTTTTAGGCTTTTCTTTCTATAGCAAATAATTTTCCCACAGCTATTGGTAATTCATGATTCTTTTTGGATGCTTCAGAGAATCGTAAGACTTATGAGAAGGCAAAACTTCGTTTTGCTCATGCAGAGACTGTAGTGCCTTTCAGCTGCCTTCTTGGACTCTTCCTCGAAGGATCTGGTGAGTTCTTTCTGTAGACCGCGTGGGATATGAATACCTTCCTGTTTAAATTAACGTCTCATCAACTGCAATTTTCAAAATTTTAGAATTTGAGCAAATACAACGGGAAGAACCACTGGCTCTACCTCCAAAGCCTCCCCAGAAAAGAAACTGGATGGGCAGCAATGTAGCTCCTTTTTCTGGGAACAATATGTTAGTTTTGTATAGCTGTCCCAGTGCTAAGAATAATGGCAATTCACGAGTTGAAACCCAAGGAAACGATTATTTTGTGCATGTTCTGCATAATGAAGTTCCCATTTCGATGCCTGTAAGTTTATCTTGAACTTCACTTTGTTTCCTTTTTTACATTTTTTTAAATTTAAATTCTGAATTCCCTAACTACGTTCCTGACGACTTACATTAAATCCAGACTACATGAGTCATTTTCCTCGAACGTTTTGTTTTCTGTTGAAATCAGCGCACGGAAAAAATGCCACATATTTTGCCAATTGGGCGCAGTGTGTCAATATTGGAGGTGAAAATGAATTGGGTCGGGTTGAGTTGACATTGGGGTTATCAGGGTAATATGCCCGTCCTTATCCTGGCTGGAGCCAACTTAGGATCATTATTGTCTGACACATCTGCCACTAGTCAGGGGTGGTACAGGTGAATCAAGATGCAACCGGGTTCAATGAATGGATTATATTCAAGAAACTATGCAGATTCCAATATGAACTAAATATACGGTGTGTTGAGTCATATTCTTGTCAAATTGTTTTGCCACTATTCAAAGATGAACGTTGGGCATCTAATTTGCAATGTTGTCCTGTCATTTTTGGTTCATAGTTATGTTGAAAATCGCCATTTTTAGTCAAGAAAGATGGGCTATATAAATTGGGCGTTGTTTCTTCAGGTGGCTGGTGTGAGAATTAGGAGTAAGGTCATTAAAATCGAGGCCTGCCAGCTAAGCACTTGATGTTTTATTAAACCTAGATTTGTCCTCGAGGAGTTGGTCAATATTTTACTAGCAAACTTTCAGGCTAGTTTGCCAGCAAAGGGGGTGCATGATGATAGATATACTATTAAATGATTAGACATCCAAATCTCGTTAAGACTGGATATATCTTCATCTCTGAGCGTATTGCTGAGGTCATGGATTTGAGAATATCCATAACTCAGACATAGCATTCTAGTCGTTTGGTGTCTTGAGAATTTGACGTTTTAAAGGTCACGAACCTGTTGTATGTAGCATATGCTATGAGTTCTCTATCATATCCTAATGCAAGCAAGCTATGGCTATCCTTTTCTTTACCCCCCCAAAATTTTGCAGTCCTGAGAGAGAATTCTCTCATAGTCACATTATCTAGGGGGGGAGTTTTGTTGATGAAGTAAAATATTGGTACTTAGCTCCAAAATACTCTTGCATAAGACGGGGCCTCATGTGTAGTAACAGGAAGGCAGAAAGAAATATTAAGTACAGCGGAGATCCAATAATCCATTTTTGGGTAGAATTATTAATCGGAAGTTTCTAACCTCTAAAAGGTGTGTATTTTCTTCTCCAACAATTTCTAATCCACCTAAATAATTCTTTTAGTTTATATTGATGTTAATACACAAGCATCAGAGAGGGAAAATGACTCAAACTAAAGGTATTCACTAAGAATTTGAGGTTTATATTGATGTTAGATCATATGGCTACTAAAAGTATTTGAGGTTTCTCAAGTATTGTGCCTTTGAACGCCCTTCAAGATTCTCTCAGATATACTTGACCATTTTTTCTCGAGAAATCTCCTTATTTTGTAGCCATTAGCTTACAGCCCATATCGATTTTGCATCATATTCGCATGGAAAGTAAGCTTAAAGCCTAACTCAATTTATATTTTATTTAATAAATTTTGAGAAGAAGAGGGATGATGCAAGGCTTAAAATGAATAATCCACTATGATAACTAGAAACAAACCTCCATTGAAAGGGTATCAATATCTATCCTTTTTAAATTAATATGATCGAAACTAATTTTCTATGGGGACTCATGGCGTTCAAGATTAGGGCTGCGATTTATTTCTTTTGTTCTTCGGGTTTGGATTCATGACTGTGCTTTTTCATTGAGTATAATATATTTTTAGGGACTCTTTAGGATTTTCCTCAGTTGGACCACTGAACTGTTTTCATGAGAGTTCCCTTTTCATATCCCAAAAAATTGAAGGAATGTTCATGAAGATTTACGGCCACATGATTTCATACTTCTCGTTAAATGTTTCTTATAAATATAGTCTCCTCCGTCACCTATTCTCCATTCTCATCTACCTTTGGCAAACTGAAGACTCATCCACAACATAAGAGCCCTTTCTTTATCCTCTCTCCAGATCTCTTTTCACTTCTTACAAACCCTCCCCATTTTGTATATTTCTTCAGAAAATTCCTGCATTCTTGTACATTATTTCCATCATTTCATCATAACCTTTCTGCATCTGTCTCATCATCGTTCAAGTGTCAATTCTCTGTCTACTTATCCATCTCCTCTTTCTCGTATTTCTGCTTTTTTCCCAAGAAGAGTGGGAAGCTCAACTACCATTACCATGGTGGATGATAGTTGGTGATTGCCTTTGAGGCATGGGTCAGCATAGATATCAGAGATTTGAAGATGGGTCTTGGTTGTGGCGTTTCACCTTTGCATGAATATGGTAGCTATATATAATAAATACGCCACCTCTAACAAAATTGCCCAAATGGCACAGTCCTTTTCTCCTACCTGATATGGTTATAATCGTCATTTCTAATCCATTTTATTATGTTTCGTCTCAAAATTGATGCTGCTTTTCATTCTTCATCAAATAATCTATTAGTGGGATGTGGGAGATTCCTGAAATACCCCATTTAAGATGTCTTAAATTATTGTTTTATTTTTTTTTGGAGCGTTGGGGGAAGTCAGGAGAGCATATCATCCTTTGTGAGATAACGGTGAACCCTAGGATCCAAAAATTCTTTGATAGCAAAAGGTTCTGATTGCCCCATAAATGTAGCTCTGGGGTGTCCCAGAATTCTGCCGACGAGTCTTCTCCTTCACTGAAGCTCATAGTTTGATGGGCCAATCCCACACACCAGTAAACAGGACAAGCAGTCCAAATCCTGCCTATTTGATGAATCTTTACATGGGTTTTAATCTTTACTGAGTGGTTAATCTTTACATGGGTTTTAATTCGTCTTTTTCCACATCTTTTTCAGATATCGGATTGATGCTCTTCTCCGTAAAGTTTTATCATAGCTATTATATAGCCCATGCATGAGACTCTTGTATTCTGCTTTTTCTTTCTTATTTTTTTATTTTTAATTTGAATTTTACAGATTAATGATTCTTGCATGGCTAAGTTCTAATCTTTCAAACAAGCCTGATGCGCTACCTTTTCTGGATAGGGTTGTGGCAGCACGTCCTTTTGTCCTTTTGAGGTCTTCAAGGTACTAACACCCCGTGTTTTTTTTCCCTGATTTAGTAATTACTTCCTAATTATTCTCTGCAGTTACATTCATATTTACCTTTTTTAGGAAAAAATTGTGAACCCTCATCTGAAGCATGAGTTCGAATCAATCTGCAACACCAGGCCAGAATCCCCTGCACCCAAGTCAGGATCAAAGCCCCTGACATTTACTCGAAAGCTGTCGATGTTCTTCCGCTGGCTGTTCTTTCTCGAGGATTCCCGCATCTATGGCCACAATCACGAGGAACTATGATCATGGTAAAAGTCAGCCCTGGAATCTCTTCCAGAAATTTTCCTCACAAGAGGTGATAGAAACTCGTGTGGGGCTAAATCTTCCTCTCTTTATGATTAGTGATTTGATACTTTCAGGCAGAGTTTCATAGGCTTTTACCAATGTGTCTAAAGCAGAAATCCTCACTGGTTGAGGCCATTTTCTCTCAATCTTTATTATTATGTAGGCAATATTTTTGTTCCAATGGGGCTAATCAGATAATATTTTGTTCATTATGCGATATGGGTCTTCAAAATCTCCATCATTTTGATATTTTGATATATTTTACATGCCTCTTCAAAATATGAATTCAGATATTTTTTGGAATGCATATTCATCTTATTTAAAATTAATTTTCAATTGAGTGATGTAGACCAAGATATGGGATCATATTCAAAAATATTATCTCATTCAACTGTAAATTTAATTAATCTATTATATCTTATACGATAATAGTTTGATAATGCGGATATGTTCTGTGTCGTTTGATTGATTTGAAGAATTTGATCTTAGAAAAAAATAAAAATCAAGTCAACCATTTAAATTCCCCACTCAAAGTTCAAATCATAACCGTTGACTTATTTTATTATAACTGCGCAAGAAAGATTTGGCTCGTCTCGAATGAGAGGGTTTTATAATCCCTTTATTTTTAGGATTTTAGAACCCTAATTAAAATTAAAATCAAACTCTTAAAAGAGGTAATTATTTTTTTCCACCAATTTATTTTATTTCCCTTTATCAATGAGTTGAATTTCCCACCCATTCATCTACTCCTATGCACCTCTGAAAAATTAAGATTGATCCAAGGATAATTTGTGCTTTTATAAATAGAAATATTTTTTTATGAAATGAAGGAAATGCTTGTTAATTATATATTTTATATCCGTCCATCCATCCATCCACAAGGGCTAATTATTTTAATGTTTTAGGCCTTAAAATTATTTCTAAAAAAAGGGGGAAATGGCAGCAGTGGAGGAGGGCTGGCTTTTCCGAGCTTGGGGCTTTGTAAGGTTACTAAAATAAATAGATAAACTGAATAATAATAATAATAATAATAATAATAAATCTTGGGACAAATATGTGCAGAATTGGGCGAACTTCTTATTGGAGGTAAGTACACCTTTGGATCATGCGGTTACTGGATCTCAAGCACGAATGCCAGTGTCACGACACAAGCTAGTACCTAGGGACATATTCCAAAAATTACCTTAAAAAGGGTGTAAGAACAAAAGCGTTATTTATTAGCCACGTGGAGGCACGACAGGAGCGGCCTCCGGAAGAGGGAAAAATCTCTCTCCACTCCATCGTCTCCAGCCGCTCCTGGTCCGGGGCACCCCCTCCGACGAGGCCTTGGTAGATCCCGAACCAGACTTCGGAGGGGAAGGAAGAGAGAGCTCGTTCCTCTGTTATTGGAGCTGGGAAGTACGCGATGGCTTCCGGCCGTGGCGCGACCTTCCTCTTACTGCTCTTCTCCCTCAGTTGCGTCTCACTCTCCAGTTTGCCATTGACCGAGGCGTCTAAGAAGGTTCAGCTGGAGCTGTATTACGAGACGTTGTGCCCTTATTGCTCCCGGTTCATCGTGAACTTCCTCTCTAAGATTTTTATTGACGGGCTGATTGACATCGTCGATCTTAATCTTGTCCCCTACGGTAACGCCCGCGTCGCATCCAACGGCACCATCACCTGCCAGGTTTTTTTCCCCCTCGAAGTTGCCTCCTCCTGTAACCTCCATGTGAAGAGGAAAGATGGCTCAGGACAATGAATTATGGTGTAATTCGAGTTAAACTCTAAATCTTTTGTCTGTTTTTTTGGGCAGCATGGCACAAACGAGTGCTTGTTAAATACAATTGAAGCTTGCGCCATTAGCAAATGGCCTGATGTGGTGAGAATTATCTCATATTATTTAATGATAGAGCTCTAATTTTAAAGAGAGGATTGTGTCATATCTCTTGCGTGATTTTGACAATGTTTTTTCGATATTGAAATTCTTCATTTTTTACTGATTTTTTTATCATATTTGGAATAATTTCTTGATAAATTGTAGAGGTTTTATACTATTTCAACATTTTTAGGCCTATTTGCTATGGAAAACGCTAAAAATGTACCCAGATCGTTCTGGAAGGAGGAAACACGTCAAAATTTCTTGAAGAATTTAGGAAACCATCCCGTTTCACGATCGTTCAAGAAAAATTCATGCGTTTCCTTTATTGGAAGGAGTGTGAGTTCGTTTTTATCGTTTTTCATTGTAAAAGAGGAACAATAATGTTGGAATTTGAAGATTTGAAACCATGCTTGATTTTTTTTGCCTAGACATGCCTTTACATCAATAGGCAGCCGATTATTCGTTTTTAAATTAAAATGTGTTTTAAAATCGAAAAAAAAAATATTGAACCGAGTGCCTACAGTACCTACAGTGCCTACAGTGATAAGCACAGTGCCTACAGTGATAATTAACCTCAAGGTAGCTGATGTCTTGTAAAACCATGAGCCTTTTTTTCTGTGAAGTTGTTTCATCTAAAGCCTCTCAAGAGTTTAAGTCTTTACTGCGAACCGAGTTCCATTTCTAACCCTCTTATTTCCTATGCTGGTGAGAGTATGGTCAGTAGTTGGATGAAATCACGAAACTTTCGGAAGATCTTATGGGTAGTAGTTTTCATGACAGTGTGGCGTTGAAATGTGCTGTGCTGTAAAATATGTGAACAGAGGCTTTGTTGGAAACAACCTTTTTTCAGGAAGATAATGGATCACAGTATATGCTACTATCTGAAATTTCTTGTAGCATTCCTTGCCGTAAATTCTTCTTGATATAATCACATAGATATCTTCAATGCTTGAATTTTCTTTGCCGGCCATTTGGATCTCTGAAGTTTTACTTAAGATGACTGTAGTTTTCAGTTTTGTGTTTCAAATTTTATATCCAAAAATTTTGATGCAGAAGAAGCATTTCCGTTTCATTTACTGTGTGGAGAAGTTGGTTGTGGCGCATACGTATACCGAATGGGAAACCTGTTTCCAGAAAACCGGACTGGAATCAAAGGCAGTTCTGGATTGCTACAGAAATGGCAACGGGCAGAAGGTACATTCCCAATATTCCGTTGATCAAATACAGCAGCTTAAATCTGTTTCATAGACAAGTTTTTCCGGTCGTTCAAATGAATATAGACGGTATTCTAGAACAATAACCTACTATGAATTTTCCATGGAAGAACCCTTTTTTTTTTTTTTATCTTAAATGGTTAGTTCCATGGGCCCCATGATCATTCTTATTAACTACCTCATAAACATGGAAATATAAAGGTGTTTTATAGGCGAGTTTTCCATAGACGACGTTCTAGTGGCTAAGGAAGTGCTATTCTAAGCGTCCTTAGTCTTGTCTCTGTCATGTTATAATTGTATGGCCTACGAGTGTGCTCATCATTTCTTTGCCGACTATATAAAATGTGACATGTACAGGGCAAGAAACATCTGACGCTGGGATACTCTCATACAAAATTCCTAGGACTGTGATTGCAGTCATGCAGTGGTTGACTCTCATTTTTCATTTTCATTCTCTTTGCAGCTGGAGCTGAGCTATGCAGCAGAGACAGATGCTCTTCAGCCTCCTCACAAATATGTTCCATGGGTGGTAGTGGATGGGAAGCCTCTATATGATGTCAGTTTCCTCCTTGTGACTCATTTTATGTCCGTTCTTTCATCTCCATCGATGGTTCCGTTCTTACTCTATTTTAACCCATTTTTCCTGGATCATGATTCGCATTAATATGGATTTCTTTCATTTAGTGATAATTATTCTATTTTCCTATAATGCAAAGTCATGAGCCAACACATCACATATTCACTCACTTTATCACTTCATTCTTTCCCAGAAATTATCTTTCCCAATATCTGGTCAGTTCATCTCCGGGCACTCATTGTTCCTGCTTGGGGGATAATTAATCATTTGAATGATTACGAATATTGAAATAATTCTATTATCAATTTAATTTTACCTCTTCCTTCCCACCCACATCAACATCTGAATTTCTCATTTTATGTAGAATCATCCCCTGAATTGGTAACATCAACCATGAATCTCTGAAAAACTCTCATCAATTTGAAAACACAAATCATTTGGTTCCAAGTATTATTTTCTTCCTTACAGTAACAAAATTCCAAGGCCGCTGCGACAGGGAGTACCCAGCCCAGAGCAGTTTATTTTAGGCCCGGGCTTCAATCCAGAACCCATTTTCGGGCTTTTCTCTGAACCCAGTCCGGCCAGTTGACCTCCATTTCCTCCATTTTCCTCCTACTTGAAAATAATATCGACGTCTTGTCCATGAAGGATTATGAGAAATTTGAAACCGAGGTCTGCAAGGTCTACAAAGCGGGTGATCAGCCGGAAGCCTGTAAAGGGCTGCTCGACGTGACGACCCTCCCACTGAAGGTGAAAGAACAAAGACAAGTCTGCTTCGCTGATGGTTTGGCGAGCTCACCCAAACTGATCTCCTTCACCGCTTGATCAGGTCAGTATACGTTTGCCTTTATTGTTACAATATTGCCCTCCACCATGTTTGGAGAGCACTACCCCTGGATATTTGTCTTCTCTCTAGTCTACAGGCTGTCCAACGTTTGATTTGTACACTTTGGTAATCAGGTCCCCGTTATTTTGGGCTCCTTTGATCTTCATAGATACCATGTTCGTCGTTGTTCTGTTTTCATAAATTTATGCTGAATTTGGTAGTTCATCTATTACCTAATTTAGTCAACTTCCCTTATTTGGCAAAACAATGAATAAGGGGAGGTGTCTTTTCTGACCCGGAAGCCATATTCCATCTCTCTCTCTCTCTCTCTCTCTCTCTCTCTCTCTCTCTCTCTCTCTTTGAAGCCATATTCCAGGTAGAGAGAGAGAAAGAGAGAGAGGGAGAGAGGGGGGTGGATATGCTCACGAAGATGGGTCAGACGGGTTCCGACTTCAAAAAAGAGCTTCTTGGATTCCATTCACAGGCTCTTTTTTGGGCCCTGACCAAGCCCGGATTTTGTTCTCCCGAGCAAGTCTAGTCCGGCCCCTCAAAAGTCAACTGGATGTTACCTACCGCCAATTCCTCCATTTTTTCTTCCTTCTAGCTGTCAACTTGAACTCTACTAAAAGCTGCTGAAGTTGTTAAGAGATAAATGGAGTGGACCTTTTTCATAATTATAGTCATAGTAATGTTGTCATTAATGCAGCACCACTGTTCTTAATAAAAAACTGCATATTTCATTAAAGCTTAGTTTTAAGACGGCCCGTTGAACCCCGGCTCTTAGAAAGTCAACGCTGAGCCCGCACCGAGACATTTCCGAGGGTTGGGTTTCTGTCCACGCAATATACCCTGAAGACCCATCTAGAACAATGTAGAACAACGTCACCCGGTTTCCCGCTGAATACAGCTGATTTATTGACACATTCGGAAGAACAGGAACATCTTATGGAGGAGAAATGAAAGGAAAAAAAAAAAAACAAGGGAAAGAACACGAGAGCGTGGTGCAATCCAAGAAGCTGCCTGGCCTCCTCGTTATTCGGGTCTCTCTCTCTCTCTCTCTACTACCGCAAAAACCACCGGGAGCCAAGAGTCCCCATCGTTTCCTCTCACTAGCTAGGGCTCTTCTTCTTCTTCTTCTTCCTCTTCTCCGTGTTCTTCTTCTTCATCATCTTCTTCTCCGTGTTCTTCATCGTCACTCGGGCACGGTGGAGAGATCCGGGATCATGGTGTTGCAGTCGGTGTTGGTCTGGTCAACGGTGATGCCACGGTCCTGAGTGCCCACCTTCCTGGTGTGGCAGCGGCCGTTGTCCCTCCGCTGGTAGGTCTGCAGGGTGGTGGCGGACCCCGAGAGGGCGGCGCCGTTGACCTGCAGCCACCCTCCGGCGACCTGCATGTCCGTGATGGAGTTCTGCGACCTCATCTGGTTCATCGTCACGTCGGTGAACTGGTAGAGCATGTGGGAGACGTTCGCCTGGGACAGCATCCGGTCGCCTGCATAGCTGGCGGTGGAGGTCAGCATCTTCACCGGGTACCTCGCCTGGTTGATCACCCTGGCCAGGAACCTGTTGGGCTGCTCCGTGATCCTCACATCCGCAGTGTACTTGGACTGCGAGAACACCTCCTTGAGCGTCCCCTGCATCTTGTACTCCACGGAGCTCTTGTACTTGAAGTGGGAGTCGATGAGGGTGGTGAAGTTCCCCAGGGAGGACCTCGCCCAGCCCTCGAAGCGCGCCTGCCGCGCCGCCTCGAGCTGGAAGTGCCCCTCGAGGAACTTGTTGTTGGCGTTGCGGGAGAGGAAGGTGGGGGCAGCGTGGTGCTTCACCATCATCGCCGGCACTGCCGGCAGGTGCGGGTCCAGCCAGAGATGGAGGTTGGCGTTAACCAGCCAGAAGGAGATAGCGTGGCTCACCTTAAGGCCGATGGTGTGGGGGCGCCCGTTGAGGAGCTGCCCCAAGAATGGGGTCAGATCGAGGTCGTAGGTGGGAAGATCGAAGGCCTTGATGGCCACCACCGGAGTCCAGAAGAAGGGGTTGATTCCTCCGGGGAAGACGACCGGGAAGGGAAGCACAGAACCGGCGTAGAGCCCATCGACTGTGGCCACCAGCTCCCGGAAGGCCCAGTTGCCCCGCCGGGAAGGGATGTTGTTCTGGATGTTGTAGCTGTCCGGCGGGTTCGCGTACCAGAACTCGTCGTCGCCATGGTAGGAGACGCAGACCTCCAGCACCGCCTTGTAGGCGTTCCGGGGGATCCTCAGCCTGCTCCCGCGGATCTCTGTCTCCCTGTCAATCCTGAACCAGAAGCCGCTGTCGGCCCCCTTTTTCTTGTTCGCCACCGGGATGATCATGTCCGCCGGACGCTCCAGGAGGCTGCGCAGCTTGGTCTCCTCCGTCGGCAGGCCCAGCGCCGCCGGCTGCGCCGCCTCTCCGCCTTCGCCGCCGTAGCGCGGCGGCACGGGGACGAAGCCTGACGCCTGCTGCTCCTCCTCGTCTTCTCCGCGGGAGGAGGGGAGGCGGAGGAAGCCGAGCTTGCCGGTCCTGGGCTCGCTGAGGCCGCGGCCGTAGAAGTCGATGGTGACGTTGACATGGTAGATGCCCTTGAAGTAGTCGTCGAGGGAGTTCTCCAGCATCACCGTCAGGGTCCGGGCGGAGCTCGCGACGGGAACCAGCATGGCGGCGAAGTGTGTGACGTCCTTGCGGACCCTCCAGAAGACGCCCACCTGGGTGGTCGGCTTGGCGGTGCTGGTGCGGAGGATCTCCACGCCGTCGAGCCAGACGGCGGCGATGCGGTCGTTCTGCTCCCCCTCGCAGGCGGCGGCGAACTCCAGCACCGCCCGGTTCCACTTGCAGTTCTCCGGCAGCGTGTAGTTCACCGCCACCGGCGGCGCGCCAACCGTGTGGGCGAAGTCGTGTTGCAGGAGTTTCACCGAGCAGGAGGGGGTCTCCTCTGCGTTGGGGAAGGCCTGCGGAGGAGTGGGATCCATATACTCCAACCCCTCTTCTTCTTCCAGCTCCGGGTCGGTGAGATCATCCTCGAGATCCAGCCGGCCGGCGGATGCCTGCGGGCAGCATCTGCCGCCGAGGCACAGCAGAAGAAGAAGCAACGAGAAGGGGAGGAGCGCCGAGAAGGAGCGCCGTGAATACATCTCTTCCTCTTCTCTCTCTCTCTTCTCCTTCTTTCTTCTTCTTCTTCTTCTTCCTCGCCTGGTGGACTGAGACCACCGGGAGCTTGCCTTTTAAAGAGTTCCAGAACCCTAAACAGTGGCAACCCCGGGCTTGCCCCGTCCTTACGGAGGAAACAGACGAGATTCTCCATCTCCATGATGATGATCAGAACGAGACCGAGAGGCGGAAGAGAGGGAGGTCTCAGGAAGCCCCTCCGCGGCTTCAGCGGTGCCCGGTACAGTCTGAGACTCATCCTCTCCCATGAGGGAGGGCAAGCTTCTCAGTGTTTCCGTCGGCTCCGTCGAATCTCGCCGCGGAAGGCGATGAAACCCTCATGCTTCCTGTATTTCCCTGCATGGCTTCGAACCCTAACACGTTCCATTCACGGAAAGAATTCTCGACGCACCAGAGAAACATGGTGCACGGGGCTGGACGAACAACGAATCCATGCGGCCCCGCCATTGAAGGGGCAATAATCAAAGAGAAAAATCAACTCCCCGAACGTCACGAACGAAGATAAAAAGGGGGGGTTGGTCAATGGGTCAGTGAGTAGGGAAGCAGCTGGGTCTATGCATGCGGCCGTGGTGATTACACGTCCAAAAAGTCTGGACAACAAAGTCAACAGCTTACTTACCACCTTGGGAACAATAGCCTTGGTTTGAAGTATTCAAGAGGGTTGACCTCTCAAGTTTGACAAAAAAGCCTCATTATTTTTTTAAAAATCAAATTGATGGTTATTTTTAGCATATTTATTATTTTCTATACCAAAAGTAGAAAAAAAATCTTAATTTCGCTACATAGCTTGTTTAAATGATGCCATGATCCGTACACAAATGCAATTATCAAATGTATCAGGATATTCTTGTCTGAACCAAATTATCTATGAATTGAATAAATAGAACTATGTGATTAAAAAATATTATTTATGCCCTATTTTTTCAGTAGGTTAGATGAGGTGAACACAGCTGAATATTTGGGCCCATTAAACTTGAACGGAATAAGCCCACATTCATTCATAAACTTAGGTCCAATTATTTATCCCTCAATTTTACCCACAATAAAGAGGGGAAGAGTACACGACAGAAGGCCCAATCCTGATATTGGGCCACAGCCCAATTTGGCATTTTAAGAAAAAAATTATACTGGATAAATGGGCCAAAAGGTGCCAGAAAGTAGGCCCATTAATCTTTGATACAAAGAGATGAGAGGGGGAAATACGTTTTGGCCTCGGCCAATCTCTTGCATCTTAAACAGGCCCAACTCATAAGCCCATTAAGCCCACATTCTCTCTCTCTCTCTCTCTCTCTCAGTTAGAGAGACTCTGGGCTTCACAGTGAGTCTAGGTTGGGATCCATGTTGGTCGAATTATGAATAATATAATTACTTTCTCTATTCTCTTTCCACTTCAGGACTCTCCATTTTGCCAATTAACTCTAATTATTTGATAAAATTAAATTGAATATTTGAAGAGATAGAGAGAGAGGTAGATAGATGTAGAGAGAGAGAGAGAGAGAGAGAGAGAGAGGAGAGCGAGAGCGAGAGAGAGAGAGAGAGAGAGAGAGAGAGAGAGAGAGAGAGAGAGAGAGAGGGAGAGAGAGCGAGAGAGAGAGAGAGAGAGAGAGAGGGAGAGAGAGAGAGAGAGGAGAGAGAGCGGAGAGAGAGCGGGAGAGAGAGCAGAGAGAGAGAGAGAGAGAGAGAGAGAGAGAGAGAGAGAGAGAGAGAGAGAGAGCGGAGAGAGAGCGAGAGAGAGAGAGAGAGCGAGAGCGAGAGAGAGAGAGAGAGAGAGAGAGAGAGAGCGGGAGAGAGAGCGGGAGAGAGAGCGAGAGCGAGAGCGAGAGAGAGAGAGAGAGAGAGAGCGCGGGAGAGAGAGAGAGAGAGAGAGAGAGAGAGCGGGAGAGAGAGCGAGAGCGAGAGCGAGGGAGAGAGAGAGAGACGAGGTAGCCACCAATTGACCGGCTGGTTATCCCGTTGACCAAGGGGGTAGATGGCGGAATTGTAAGTCAACTTTCTGTTCGAGGATTCCAGTAGAACCGCCTACTTGAGAAGAGGAGTACGTGGACGTCATTGCCCGATCCCGTCAGAAAGGTTTTTATTTACCGTATCTACCAACTATATTCTTCCTGCCCATTTCTTCCCCCGGAAGCTGCCGAAGAAGGTGGCCTCGGACTCGGAGAGGCGAGACGCTCCCCCCGCCCCCACCGTCTTCCCTCGCTTCCCCTTTGACTGTAATTCGTCGTCTCACCGGCGCGGAGAAAGAGGACGGCGATCTGGGAGAGAGCGTTCCGAAGCGGAGGCGAGGAGGAAGGTAGACGAGTAGGTAAGTTCCCCCGACCCTTTCGGCCTTCGGCTATTTCGGTTCTTGTCTCGCATCGGTGCTCTCCCGATGGTTTTGTCTTGATCACGGATGCCAGATTTGGGTTGAGTATAAGGTTGGGTACAATTCGGGGGATTGTCTGATGGGAGATCTCCCCCAGGGATCGTAATCGGATCTTCTTTGCTCTTCTAAAAATTTCGTCTTCCGATCCTGTTTCCCGAAATGGGGTTTCTCGGCGGATCTTTGAGAACTATTCTGCGCTATGTGCTTCCAGAGAGCTGTTGGAGAGGAGGCACTGAGCGTTGTTGCTCAATTGGCGAGAACTTTCTGGAACTGGAGAATTGGTCAGCAGCGCCATACCCATAGCACCATGGATGGGTTAGGGAACGGGAAAAATCCACCTGAGATTGATGAGGACCTTCACAGCCGACAGCTGGCGGTTTATGGGAGGGAAACCATGAGGCGCCTTTTTGCGTCAAATATACTTATCTCTGGCATCAATGGACTTGGCGCAGAAATAGGTGAACTCTTATCTCTAACATCTAGACAGTCTCCTGGTGCTTCCTGTCGTAATGCATCGACGGTTAAATACAATTCTAGCTTGTTTTCGATATGATAACCATCCTTGAAGCAGGGTAAGAAATTTTACTTACAAAATAAACTATCATAATTAAAAAAATCGAGCACTCATGTGCTGTGAGCGTGCATCTTTGTTTGTGCTGGAAACTACCACTCCTGATTCAACGTTCATATTAAATAAACTTTGGCACAGTATGTGAGCCCATCTTTAACTTCTCTCTTGGAGGATTGAAAGAACAGTACTGAAATAGTTTCACTTCTAATTTAGCTGTGATAAATATTATTCATGTCTCGTTCAACATATATACTCACTTTGACACCGTCAGATTTATGGATCAGTTGCGTTGACTAATATGCTTGAATCTCACCGTCATGAACAAGAAACATACAACTTAGACGTGGTTAGATACATTATTTTATGGCATATATTTTGATAGTTCTTCAGCTACTTTGCTGGATCAACTGGAATAATTAAGACCCAATCCTTGCAGCCAAAAATCTAGTTCTCGCTGGCGTCAAATCTGTAACATTGCATGATGAAGGGACAGTGGACTTGTGGGACCTTTCGAGTAACTTCTTCTTGTCGGAAGAAGATGTTGGTAAAAACAGAGCTCTTGCCTGTGTTCAGAAACTGCAGGAACTCAATAATGCTGTTGGGATCTCCACCATTACAACCAGTTTGCCTAAAGAAATACTCTCCGGCTTCCAGGTCTGCCTTTTTTCTTCACTTGTTGTATGCTCTGCAACTTCATTGAACTGAGTCTTTTCCTTCTGTTTCTTTTGAGCAATTATTTATGAATCGTAGAGAAAATGAATGTGGGAAGCCACTGCACATTAATTGCACGAGTTCTAGTTTAAACTAACGGTCGAAGATGACTGTGGTGATTGCCTGGGTGATTGGGTGAGGTGCGGTGGGTTGCTCCTGGTTTGAAGAATTTATTCAGATCTGAATCCGCTGATTCAGACCAAAATAGTTCATCCCCTTTCTGGTTTGAAGTCAACCCTTTAAAATTAAGAAAGTCTTGATTCAAGCTTAATTACCTCACAAAGATCAATTTTATTTTGGTCAAGCCAAGGTCGCAAGCATTTTCTGCTGCAGAATAAACCAGTTTTAAAATAGAAACGGATGCTCCATAACACATGAGTTCATTATCACAAGGGTTTTGTCATTGATTGGACTCTTCATTCACTGTGGGAAAGACGTATAATTAGGACTTTGGTTTCTTAATCGGGCCGTTTTCTAGTTAGGTAGTTTCCTAGTTTTGTGGCCCTAGTCCTTGGATATAATGGTCATCAGTGAAGTCAACACGAGTCATGTTTTTCCTCTGCATATCCTCCTACGTTTGCACTACTGTTCATGACATTCGGCTTTCCTTGAAACTAGTAGAAGATTCAAATCAGAAGAAGAAGCTCAGGAAGACGAGGAGGTTGTAGATTGTAGTCCCCTTCTAGTGAATAAAAGGGAGGGAATGCTAATAGAAACCAAAAAAAAAGGACAGTACGGAGATAACTTTGGAATAAAAATGGATCACTCTGTTTTCCATCCACAACTGGCATCTGCGAAGTATTTTTCCATTTATTCCCCCTTCCTGAGAATATGTTAAGGATCAAGGACTTGATTTGCTGAAAGGAGGAATAAAATGACGGTTCCCTTCATGCAGAGCACCCTGAATTTGTCCTTAGATGTTTTCATTTTCTAGTTGATTGTTCTAATCACTTCAGGTTCTGATGTTGATTCATTTTTATTTGACAATCCGTGTACCTTGGGTGAAGTGTTAAGGCCTGCTTTCATAAGATATCTATATCTTTGGCAAGTTTTTGATGTTTCTGAACCTGTGAAAATAATTTTAAATGGTTTAGGAAATTCAATTAGGTTATTTCATATTCTATCTCTTCTCGACTTCCCATAGTTCCCCTTGAACATTTTTAGCTGCTCTGAACTTGTGACTGTGGATTTTCCTGGAGTTCACATTCTCCCTCACAAATTATAACAAACTTGATCCCCATTTCGCACAACTTTATCTTCCATGCTGAGGAATCTGTTGATCGCTAAGGATCCCAGATAATTGCATTATTTCCCGTCTTTACCTTCTTAAAGCGGAAATGTAGCAACTTGAAATGGCTCTTTTACGTTACGTCTCAATTTTCTACTTGATTAAGATGCGCGTCTATTATTTTTTTCCCACTAAAATTAAACCGCATATTTTCTCCCCTATTCTTAATCGTACCGAAATGTTTTGTCTTTTTGGATTGCCTATTGTTAATTTCAATCATTATGCATCTTTCAGCCGAAACACTGTTACAAGTATCCCCAACCTCGATTTTGAAAAAGAAACTAGGGATGCATCCTTGTCTTCTCAACTTATTTTTTAATGTCCATGGTTTCATTTATAGATTTCTTGATGTTTTCTCCAACGTTTTGTCCTCATGATCCATACTTATAAGCAAATCACAAAAAAGAAAATGTCAAGTTACATTCGTTTCTAATGTAAGATAAACTTCATAACATTCCATTTTGGTTAGGTTAAAACTAATTCTCTATTTGAATCATCTAGGTCTTTTGATATAATATATTGTCATCCAATTTTGTAATGACTTTCATGAAGTCAATCTTGAATTTGATCAATTTTGTGATAAAAATTTTCAATTCTAGTTCACTCGGATGCTAGTCACTTATGCAAATATTTTTAGAGGTCTTTGGGGGTTGGCTACCTTAGTTGGAGACTTAGCTGAAGTTTTATGGAGATAAAATCTCATCCTAGAATCCACAAGAAACAAAATTTCTGTGAAGATAACTCGCCCTTAATCAATAGAACATAGAAGATTCGACCATTGCATCTGCATGGGGGTGATCTTAAATCCAAAGACCAAGAAGGTTCCCTTGATTTTTATCCACAAGGGAGCCAATGGAATCCAGCAGCAAGGAAATATAATATTGTAAAAGGAGAGAATAATGGCTCCCTTGTGGATAAAAATCTTGAATAATGGCTCTAGGGCTATAATGAGAGCCTTGAAATAGGCCAAAAGATTTTTAGGACACCCCTAAATAGGCAGTTTTGTTATGATGGTGCATTAAAAACGGTTTTAAGGAGAATTTAACTAAATTAAAAAAATGTCTAAAAGTGGAAAAATGAAAAGCATGAAAATTAATTTATGGTGTGTTTATGACACATTTTATTATAGGCCAACGCTGGTTTGGGTTAATTATGGCCCAAATCAGAGTTGACCCAGCATTTTTCCGGCCACTTGGGTCAAAAAGCTTTCGACCTTCTCTTGTGGTAGATGTCCTATATCAGATTCCCTTACAGAGAAAAAGACTCGTCCTCAAGTTTGACTTTCAGTATGGGCCAATTTTGAGAATCTTTGAAATTTGTTTGACAGCCGCTCTTGTGCTCACAATCAACGTCATCAAAGGCTTTATATTCTATTGGACCACGTGGCATCTTTGCATGAATAAACTTGAGGACATCAAAAGTTGATGAACCTTCATGGGATTGAATTCTTGATGCAAAAAAACAAATAAAATATCAAAAGTCCGGCTTGAAATGCATAAGGCACCAAATAAGAGTTGTTCAAGAATGAAAATCAGACCTGGAGTGTACAAGATGCGAATTTCTCTCAATTCTTGAATACGAACGGACTAATCTTGATGATCCTTGAATCCATAGGGATCGCACAAATCTTCTTTTGATGCCATAATGTCCTCCAACCTTGCTCTAATATCAATTGACATAGTTAGAGCTGTATGTAGAAGAAATCTGGTCCCGGAATCCATAAGAAACAAAATTTCTAGTGAGATTTTGCTCTGAATCTACAGAACTTGGAAGCTTCGACTCTTGAGACCACAAGATCATGAGGGTTCATTTGAATCCGTTAGGGAGGCGTCAGAATCTAACAACAAGGAGATAGAATCTCGAAAAGTGAGAAATTTCGGTGCCAGAATCTAACAACAAGGAGATAGAATCTCGAAAAGTGAGAAATTTCGGTGTCAGAATCTAACAACAAGGAGATAGAATCTCGAAAAGTGAGAAGTTTCGGTGTCAGAATCTAACAAGGAGATAGCATCTCGAAAAGGTCGAAATTTTGTAATGCTGAATGATGCTTCCAGGGCTACAAGATAAATAGGTCAAAAAAATTTAGGGCGTCTCTAGAAAGACAGTTGTATTATGATAACATCTTAAAACACCTTTAACGGGTATTTAAATAAATTCAAAACGACTAAAAGTGGCAAAAAATAAAAGCGGGAAAACTAATTTATGATGCATTTCATTACTGGTCAACTCTGATTTGGGCCATTTATCGTCTCCTGATCTTTGTAGCCCATCTTTGAAGCTTCATGAATACTTGGCCCACCATTTCATTGTCCGCTTGAACCAAAAAGCTTTCGGCCTTCTCTTTGTTGTAGTCGATGTCCTACATCGGTTGGAGCTAAAAGATATAGCAGAAGAATTAAGGGAGAAGATGCTGATGCATTAGTAGGAAAGGCACCGTGTGATTTAGCATCTGCACACTCTAAACCAGTCTGTAAGCAGTATTCTTATTGATCAAGAGGAAATATTGCAGAATAATTTCTTTTTCTTTATATTCACGCTCTTAATTGAGGTGGTCTACAGAAAAAGTTCAGTTAATATTACTTAAAGTTGCTTAAATTGTGAGATCCCAACGCATTTTTCTTTTTGATGGTTTGAACTTCCTGCTTGAATGATGTGAGAATTTTGCATCATTAAATATACCTGTGAAATCATTTTGGCACCCAGTTGCTAATAGTTTCTGAAGCAATGAGTGCTGATCCTAGTCAACGTAAGCACCGACTTCTTGAGTCATTTGCTTTAGAAACGATGCAGGCTGTTGTTTTCACTGAGATCAGTCTGGAGAAGGCGATTGAATTCGATGAATATTGCCACAACCACCAGCCTCCCATCTCCTTCATCAAATCTGAGGTCCGAGGCCTTTTTGGGAACATCTTCGTTGACTTTGGCCCAGAATTCACAGTCGATGATGTTGACGGCGAGGAACCACACACTGGTATAATTGCGTCCATCAGCAATGACCATCCCGCCCTCGTGTCCTTCGTTGACGATGAACGACTCGAGTTCCAAGATGGCGATCTGGTTGTCTTCTCAGAGGTTGAGGGCATGCCAGAGCTCAACGATGGAAGACCGAGGAGGATCAAGAACACCAGGATGTATTCATTCTATCTCGAGGAAGACACGACCAAGTACGGGCCTTATGTGAAGGGTGGCATAGTCACCCAGGTCAAGCAGCCCAAGGTCTTGAGATTCAAGCCCTTAAGAGAAGCAATGAGAGACCCCGGAGACTTTCTTCTGAGCGACTTCTCAAAGTTTGACCATCCCCCACTGCTGCACCTCGCCTTCCAAGCGCTGGACCGGTTCAGGAGCGATCTTCAACGCTTTCCTGGGGCGGGTTCCGAGGAGGATGCCCAGAAGCTGATCCAACTGGCCGCCGCAGTCAACGAGACCATGGGGGAGAGCAAGCTGGAGAGCCTGGACGAGACGCTCTTGAGACTCTTCGGCAGCGGGTCCCGGGCCGTCTTGAACCCCATGGCGGCCATGTTCGGTGGCATCGTCGGCCAGGAGGTTGTGAAGGCCTGCTCTGGAAAATTTCACCCTCTTTTTCAGGTGAGCTTTTCTTCTTCTTCTTCTTCTTCTGATGCTGATTCTGATTCTGATTCTGATGGCTATGGGTGTGTTTGAAAACTTGGGCAGTTCTTCTACTTTGACTCTGTCGAGTCGCTTCCCAAAGAGGCGCTGGAGGCCGTTGACCTGAGGCCATTAAACAGCCGCTACGACGCACAGATTTCCGTATTCGGATCCAAGCTTCAGAAGAAACTGGAGGAGGCCAAGGTGTTCGTGGTCGGGTCCGGCGCCCTCGGCTGCGAGTTCTTGAAGAACCTGGCCCTGATGGGAGTTTCATGCGGCCCTCGGGGGAAGTTGACCGTGACAGACGACGACGTGATCGAGAAGAGCAACCTCAGCCGCCAGTTCCTCTTCCGGGACTGGAACATCGGGCAGGCCAAGTCCACCGTCGCCGCCTCCGCCGCCTACTCGATCAACCCCAGCTTCCACGTCGAAGCCCTCCAGAACCGGGTCAGCCCGGAGACGGAGGACGTCTTCAACGACGCCTTCTGGGGGGGCCTGGACGTCGTGGTCAACGCCCTCGACAACGTAAAGGCCCGGATGTACGTTGACCAGATGTGCGTCTACTTCCAGAAGCCGCTGCTGGAGTCCGGGACGCTCGGCCCCAAGTGCAACACCCAGATGGTCATTCCCCACCTGACGGAGAACTACGGCGCCTCCAGGGACCCCCCAGAGAAGCAGGCCCCTATGTGCACCGTACACTCCTTCCCACACAACATTGACCACTGCCTCACCTGGGCCCGCTCAGAGTTCGAGGGCATGCTCGAGAAGACCCCCGCCGAAGTCAACAAGTTCCTCTCCAGCCCCGGCGAGTACGCCGCCGCCATGCGCACCGCCGGCGATGCTCAGGCGAGGGACTTGCTGGAGCGCGTCCTCGACTGCCTCGACAAGGAGATGTGCCAGACCTTCCAAGACTGCGTCGCCTGGGCCCGGCTCAGGTTTGCCCTCTCTCCTTCCCTCTCTCCTGCTTGGATTCCTTTCTATATTCTTCTGTCTCTGTCTCTGTCTATCTCTGTTATTCTTATAGTCAGATTGGAGGACTACTTCCCTCTTTGGATTTCTTTCCATATTCCTCACTGTCTCTCTCTCTCTCTCTCTCTCTCTCTCTGTGTTATTCTTATGGTCAGGTTTGAGGACTACTACTTCAACCGGGTGAAGCAGCTGACGTTCATCTTCCCGGAGGACGCAGGGACGAGCAGCGGGCTGCCGTTCTGGTCCGCCCCGAAGCGGTTCCCCGTGGCGCTGCGGTTCTCGGCCGGCGACCCGAGCCACCTGGCCTTCGTTGCGGCGGCGGCCATACTAAGAGCGCAGACCTTCGGGATCGCCGTGCCAGACTGGGCCAGAAGCCTGGAGAAGCTGGCCGAGGCCGTTGACCGGGTGGTGGTTCCCGAGTTCCAGCCCAGGGAAGGAGTGAAGATTGAGACCGACGAGAAGGCCACCAGTTTCTCCGCCTCATCCGTGGACGAGGACTTTGTCATCAACGAGCTCATCGAGAAGCTCGAAACCTGCTCCAAGAAGCTCCCCCCCGACTTCCGGATGAACCCCATACAGTTCGAGAAGGTCCAAATCCTCCCTCTACTCTCTCTCTGTCTTTCTCTTTCTTGGGCTAACAAGCGACAGCCTTCTCCTCCCGTGGCCGGCAGGATGACGACAGCAACTACCACATGGATTTGATAGCGGGGCTGGCGAACATGCGGGCGAGGAATTACAGCATCCCGGAGGTGGACAAGCTCAAGGCCAAGTTCATCGCCGGTAGGATCATCCCCGCCATCGCCACGTCCACGGCGCTGGCCACCGGGCTGGTCTGCCTCGAGCTCTACAAGGTGCTGGCCGGCGGGCACCGGGCGGAGGACTACCGGAACACCTTCGCCAACCTGGCCCTCCCGCTGCTGGCCATCTCCGAGCCGGCGGCGCCCAAGGCGGTGGAGCACGGCGGCGCCCGATGGACCGTCTGGGACCGGTGGGTCGTCCGGCAGAACCCGACGGTGCGGGAGCTCCTGGACTGGCTCAGGGCCAAGGGTCTCGACGCATACAGCGTCACCTGCGGGTCGTCGCTGATCTACAACAGCATGTTCCCGAAGCACCGGGAGAGGCTCGACATGAAGGTGGTGGATGCGGCGAAGATCGAGATCCCTCCCCACAGGAACCACCTTGACGTGGTGGTCGCGTGCGAGGACGACGACGGGGAAGACGTCGATGTCCCCCTCATCTCCGTCTTCTTCCGCTGAGCCCGTCTGAATTGGTGCTGGTACGCTCCTCTCATTTATCCCTCCCTATTTTTATACACGCGGGGACCTGGAATAAGTACCGAATTGTAACATAAGACCCTACTTATTATCTCATTCGTCGCTGTTGCTCTCTCTGGATCTGTAGAGAGAGAAAGTGGGACTTGCTCCGGTTATCGGTCTTATTTGACTGGTCAATGTTGTTGGGCGCACATCCATGACCACGCAGATAGACGTTTATCGATGCGGATCGTTCTAAACTCGTCGTGGACGACATTCAAATCTAGTCACGTTTCACTTCTAGGCCATTGTCCCTACGGCAGCCACTTAAGATCCTCTCTCTCTCTCTCTCTCTCTCTCCCTCTATCTAGTTTCAGTCAAGGGTCTGCACAATCGGTCCAAGCGAAGGGGAGAGGGAGGGAGAGAGAAAAGCCGTTCTGTCTCTCTCTCTCTCTCTCTCCAGGCTGGCATTCGTACGCGGAATGAATAACTGCTGGACTCCTTCGCACCTGTCTTTAAAGCGGAAGCAGCTACAGGTTGGTCATGAACACGGGAAGAGCACAAAGATGAGGATGTGACCTGTTCACATGGGGGGGGGGCGGGGTGGTCCCCATATCCAGGAAGCTTCTTCCTCCTCCAGAAACAATATTTATGCCAACGAAGGCCTCGCGACGTCGGAGCCCAGAGCGAGGTAGGAAGACGAAGCCGAAAGCGTTCGGGAAGAGCGACAGAGATAGAGAGATAGAGAGGAAGAGAAGGGGCAGGGGGTGGGGGTGTGTGGGGGACATCAATCGATCCGTCGCCATGGGAAAGTGGCAGCTTAACGGCCTGAGTCTGCTGGTCGGGTGGGTCGTCTGGTGCTGCGTTGGGTGGCCGAGTGGAGTGCAAGGGTGTCTGAAACAGGAGCGGGAGGCCCTCCTGCGGCTGAGAGACGGCCTGTACAGCCCCGGCCCGGTGAATTCGTCCGAGTGGCCGTCCTGGGTTGGACAGGACTGCTGTCTATGGGATGGGGTGTCTTGCCAGAGCGATCCCCCACGCCGTGTTATCGGTGTCTCTCTCTCTAACAGGAGGAGAGATGGGCTGGGAGGATGGGCTGTGGACGGTTCTCTCTTCGTTCCACTGGAAAAGTTGCAGAGCCTCCATATGAAAGGGAATCATATCAGTGGATGGTCTCGACCTGAAGGTAGATAACAATCTCTCTCTCTCTCTCTCTCGCTCTTGGTGTTTCTAACTTCTTAGTGGGAGAGAATTGAGTCAATCTCGTCGGAATCTCTTGCGTAGGGATGTCGGGCCTTCGAGATATCCAAAGCGTTGACCTGAGCGAAAACGAGTTGACTGACGAGGGCGTGTCTTGGATCTTTCGCCTTCCCTCGGTTGGCGAAGTCCAACTGTCATTCAATAAACTGAGGAGCTCCTCACTGATCAAAGGTATCCTGCCGCCTCTTCAGCTCATATCCTCGAAATGTTAATATCTCTCAATTCTTTATTACTCGGGAATTGGAATTGGCTCCTTTTTGGTCTTATTTCAATATAATAATTAGATATATTAAAAGTATTCTGACATCATCAATATTTAGACCATCTTCACGAAGTTCTTAATCAAAATATTATTATAATTCGAAATAATTGAATCTAATTTTCACTAACACGAGGAAAATCTTGAAATTATCCAGCTATCCAAGCACGGGCCCATCTCTATTCGTTGACTTTTGTATCAGTCAAAATTAGAATAATAATTTTAAAAATTGAGGAAATGTAAGCCTACATATTTCCTCTAATTTTAATCAGCACAATATTTTTCAACGTCTGGCATTTACCGATGAATGCACCCTTCCGATGCCGCAGGTTTCTGCACCATGAAGAGTTTGACCTCCCTTCATCTGGAAGTGAACAAGATCGAAGGCACTATCGATCCCTGCATCGCCGCCATGCCGGCCATGGAAGAAATTTACCTCCAGAGCAACCACCTCACCGGAGAGATTCCCTCCTTCCAGAATGCATCCTCTATAAAGGTCATCAGCCTTGGAGGCAACCGACTGGCCGGCGTGTTCTTCTTCTCCTCTATCGCCGGCCTCCGCAACCTCACCGGAGTCGATCTCTCTGCCAACCCCGGGCTCGAGGTGGAGACCGAGAGCCCCCCCTGGGTCCCGTCTTTCCAGCTGAATGGCTTACTGTTAGGCGGGTGCGCTCTAAACCGCCGCAGCGGCAGGGTCCTTCCAACCTTTCTGTCCACGCAGAAGAACCTCCAGGTTCTGGATTTGTCGAGGACCTCGATCAGGGGTGAGCTTCCGGCGTGGCTGTTCGACAACGCCGGGGAGTATCTTTATCTGGGCGGGAACAAATTCACCGGGCCGATCCCCAAGCTGGCCGGCGGCACAGAACGCCGCCTCTCCCTACTCGATCTGTCCGAGAACAGCATCAGGGGCCCCCTGCCGGAAAACATGAGCTCTCTTCTCCCCCAGCTCTACCACGTGAACTTCTCCAGGAACGCCTTCCGAGGAAGCATGGACTCGTTCGCCCAGTTGAGATATGTGGGCGTGCTGGACGTCTCCTACAACCAGCTCGCCGGAGAGATCCCCGCCGGCCTCACCGCCAACGGCTCCAGGATCAGGCACCTGAACCTGGGCCACAATAAGCTGGGAGGGAGCATCCTTCCGCGGGGCTCCAGTATGAGGAATCTCAAGTACCTGATCCTCGAGGATAACCTCCTCACAGGGGGCATCTCGCCGGAGCTGTCGGGGAGCCCGGAGTTGATCATTTTGAACCTGAGGAGGAACCAACTTTCGGGGACGATACCCAAAGAGTCCTTCGCGCTGTCGCAGCCGCCGGTGGTCCTTCTGGGAGAGAATAAGTTCCGAGGTAGGATTCCGGATGTTTTCTGTCGCATGGAGGGGCTCCGGATACTGGACCTCTCCGCGAACTCCCTTTCCGGTGCGGTACCCGGCTGCCTGAGTCACGTCGCCTCTTGGAGGAACGCCTCGAAGGCGTTGCTCGATCAGAACTACTACTTCTCGGAGAGGGTAGCGGTGGAGTTCAGGACGAAGGGGAAGTTACGCGTCTTCGAGAACGACGACCTATCCTGGTTCACCGGCGTCGATCTGTCGATGAACCAGTTGGCGGGCGCCATCCCGGCCGAGATAGGGACCTTGGCGGCGCTCAGGTCGCTGAACATCTCCCGCAACCACATTAACGGCGAAATTCCAGTCTCCTTCCAGGGTCTGGAGATGATCGAAAGCCTGGATCTTTCCCACAACCAGCTGACCGGAAGGATACCTCATCAGATGGCTCGCCTCCGCCACCTATCTGTCTTCTGCGTGGCTTTCAACAAGCTGAGAGGTGATATCCCTCTTCGCAGCCGCTTCTCCAGCGCCATCGGCCGAGGTTGCTTCTAAACGGGGTCATATTTCGGGGGGGACATGTGTGCTCACTTGACTGGTTTACGGCAGGATTGTTAGTGTGACGTCAAATCATTATGTTATTAAAAATAAAAGGAAATTAGTAATTGAGGCTAATGATCATACACTGATTGGGTGTGACGTCTTTATTTTTATTTACAAAGTTGAGAATCGAGAGGACCTAAGTTCATTTTAATATTTTGAAATAAATGTCAGCACCTTCTCATTCCACTAACCATTTAAAAATAGACTAAAAATATGAAAAAGAAAAATAACTGCTGAATGCCAAGAGCTTTAGGGGTCTGGCAGTTGAATAAGAGCCTGCGTTGACAGGAATAGAGCAAACTTAGTCCAACAAATTCATCTCCATCTTTGCAATAATGGGCAAGTGATTGTGCTGCTCTACAACAACTCGAGGACACAACGTGTCCAACAGGCAAAATTGATGCCAGTTCCCTAAAACTTCGAGACAGAAAACCAGGTACAATGTTGGGAGGGGTCACATGTATCAGTATACAAGATTTAAACCTTGGAAACGAGATCGGTGTGCATCAAACTGATGAACATACTGACCAGAAACCCGTGCCTGCTTGAGGTACTGAACTCAGTTCATGAAACCAGCACACGGCTGAGCATCCCCCGAGTCCAAGTCGCAGTTTCCTTCAGGTCCTCGTCTTCTGATTCGAAGCACTCTCCAAGCAACTCCATATGGAAGGTACGATCCTTGAACAGAGAGCTTATATTCGGGCCAAGTGCATCAGCAAGGTCACCCATCACAGCTACTGCAGATTTTGTCACGCCTTCGTCCCTATGGGTGTGGAAATATACACATTAAGTCGTTATATTCGATAAAAAGAAATCAATGTTTGCTATTTTGCCCATCTGCAGAGAATAAAAGGAAGGTGGGTACCTGTTTTTATCTTTGAATACAGTCTCTATGAACTGAAGGATATGACCAGCATAAGGCACCATCAGATCGGGCTTGGAGTTTTTGAAACCCTGAAGTATACCAGAGTAAGCATCAAATATGCAGGTTCTAAGTTGGTTTCCATAGTCAAGCATTTCCTCATCCTGGGAACTTAAATGGGAACAGAGCTCGGAAGCTCCTTGCAGCATTGGTATAATATAAGGGAGATACTTCTCAAAATTGTCACCAATGGCCAGTGCCATATCCCCAAAGCATGAGAATATAGGAGGCTTGACAGATCTGTGAAGCCTGGCATCAGAGAGGTTCTTAAGAAGCTGGCTCATTATGCCATCACAGAATGGAAGAATCTTCTCATCCAGAGCACGGCTGATATCACCTACAACGCCGACTGAAATGGAGCACACCTGATACTCTTCAAAATTTTGAAGCCCCATCTCCAAGTATTTGTAGAATTCTGGCATGTATCTCACAAATTCAGAGCCAGTTGCATAAGCAAGGGCCCCGATTGCGAGCATTGCTTCTTCGTGCACTGTTGAGCTCCGGCACGCAAATACCTGGAGGAATAAGGTCATCATTTGATCAGCAGATTGAAGAATCAATTGCTTTGTTTCATCTGTACCCGTCAATTTCTGAATTATAACTTGAAGAACACCACACAGCAAGGCCTGCAAATCGCTCTGCTTTTCTCTGTCATCTGAAGAGATAATCTGCAGCGTAATTGTTCGAGCCAATCGATCCCTTATTTCCTGAAGTAGCTGAGCTATGTTAGAAGCCTCTGAAATACTGCTGCACCTGACCACTTCATTCAAGGTCTCATACGCAGCAGCCCTAAGCCGTGAGTTATTAGCATCTGTGCGATCTGCTGTGGCCAGGAGAGCAATAATGATTTGCATATGATACGGTGAAAGAATGGAAGAATCTGCAGCATCCTCAAAACCCTGGAAAAGATTGTATATTGCTCCACAAACTTTCTCAGCCACATTGGGGGAATCCTTAACACTTTCCAACAAGACTGACATGATCCGAGGAAGATTTGAAGGAGTCACTGCAGAGAAATTTGATCCAGGAGAATGCAAGAACTCAAAGATCCTACCCAGGGTCCAAGCAGTTGTGTCCTTGACATGGATATTCTGATCTTTCATTGCATTTAGCAAGAATTCCAATCCAGCATGAACCAATGGTGAAAGAGTCTCAATTGTCGGACCTTCAAGGATGGACCCAAAAGCAAATGTAGCTGCTTCTCGGCTTCGCCAGTCAGTTTTCATGATGTTGGCCTCCACAAAGGGCATCACAAGAGACACAATTAGGTTTCCAACGGTCCTAGCGGCAAGTCCCAGGCAGGTCCCACCAGCCATTGACAGATTCCAGATTTCATCATCATGATCTTGGTCCTCGTCTTGCTTCAACAAAGTTTCCAGCAACATAGGAACCAGGGTGGGAAGAGCTTTCTCTATGAATTGATGACGGATGCTATTCGAACTTTCACTGTCATTGCCACCATACTCTTTGATTTCTATCTCCACATCACAAATAGAACTCCAAAATTCTATAGCTTGAAGAGCAACAGGTTCCTCATCACCCTTCACAGCATGTGCTGTCAGATTATAAAGTGTGGGCATATATGGCTCTAGATATTCGTAGTACATAGAAGATATGGAAACCAGACATTCAAAGGCAGCCTTCCTAATTTCCAATTCTTTGGACACAGCAGTGTCACAGACAACTTTCATAATATAATTCCTTTCCATCTCATTTTCGAAATTAATCTGAGCAAAATCAAGAGCATTATACAGTGACTTCACCGCTGCAAGGCAAACATCACTGCTCTGCTCTGACTGACTCATTCCCTGGACTACAGCTGTGAGAACAGAATTTACTTGGTCCTGTTCGAGGTCCTTAGGAGACACCTCTTCACAAACATAGCCAAGAGTCTCTAGGGTTGCCTGTTTCAGGACAGCAGATGCACTCGGCAGGGTCATGTTTGATAAGAGCCGTCCAATGAGATCTGGCCATTCTCGGCGTGGAATCTCAATAGAGGCTATCTTTGCGATGACTTGTGTAGATGTGTGCCTCGCTTCAGAAACAGATGACGGGAGAGTCTGCATGAGCGACTCTTTAATTTGGGTTTTTATCATCTGGTCTACACTGACCCATTGCTGAGTCAGCTGCTCTTTCCTAACAGCATCTTTGGCATCTAACGAGTTCTTAAGAATGATACCAGCAAGTCTACGGGATTCAGGAGGCTTTGCCTCACCAGATAGCTCAACTGATAGAGAGAGTAGAAAGATAGGAAGACTCTGTTCCTGAAATTGCTTTAAGCTTTCCTCAGCTGAAAGACGCACTCCTCCATCAGGGGATTGAGCAGCTATAAGGTATTGTGTAATTTCCAACGCCATCTTCCTAGAAAAAACCAAGCATGCAACAACCACCATTTTGAGAAACTCAGAACAAAGAATGCTTTTCCATAATGTGCTCACCGAAAAGCACAACTTGAAAGATATAAAACTCGGATCAAAATTACTAGAAACCACTAAAAAGACATTAATGCACAAAATACCCCAGCTTTACTCAGGAATTAATAAATCTGGAAGGTTTAAATCCAAACGTAAAAGGACACCGAGAGATGAGAAATCTACGGCTTTATTACAAGGCAAGCAATCAATGTCTAGCGGAAAAGGCCATCGCCAGTGTTCTTCCCAGAGTATGAAGCGAGAAATAAATAATGAAAAAGATATGCACTGTATTGGGTTTAGGTTAGGTTCTATCCTGGGTTCTATCTTGAAGGTGCAATCACTATTTCCCAGCAGAGACGATAAAACGACAGAATGCCGGAGGCACAAAACAGGGAATTAGGGAAATTACTTATCGAAAAGATATAATCTGCCCGTGAGAATGAAAAAAATGACCCAATGGGAAGCAAACAGATAGACATTTCATTTATGCACTTCACTCCAGATGACTATCAATTGTCCTGTATTGAAGCAAAAAGGGGCAAAATAAACAAGCAAAGAGGGGCAAAATAAGCAAGCAAAGAGGGGCAAAAGAAACAGCAACACTCAGCAGATCTGCCGGAAGTCACCTTCGCCAATATTACAGAACAAGGTACAGGCGATCTATGGACAAGGGCAATAGATACCTCGGCTTCGAAAACAAGACCCTATGGAACTGTACTCTGGCGTAAGGGAAGCCTCCCTGGGCTCGACCCAACGGTCCACCCCCGACAGTTCCCGCTTCTTCCCACTCACCCTAGGCCGCTCGCTCCTCGTTCGATAATCCGAGAGGAAAGAGAAAGCGAGAGGAAGAAGAACCGAGGGAAATTAGGGCTCCCTGGTTTTATATAGCTTTCATTTTTCGAATGCCTCGAAGGAGCGGGAGGACGACGGCGGGCATGGAACCAGAAACCCTAAGCAGACCTTTTTGAAAATCCACCTCGCACGTGCGAACTGTTCCCACTTTCAGTAACGTACGCCGTTCTTTCCTAAATGGGCTTTTTTCAGTTGGTTACCCACGTTCATCCAACTAGCCCACCATTCTGGGCCCGTGGAAGCTAATAATCCCTACTGTTAATGGGCCAAATCCGGTCCCGCCCAATATCTAGACCCCACCTCTCTCTCTCTCTCTCGATATATATATATATATATATATATATAGGCCATTTATGAAGTTTTTTTCGAAAATATATATATTCTCATTTGCTGCGTTAAGCACTCTGGAATCAATAAAGTATATTTTTTTAACAAAGATTCTGCACAGCCGCTTGAATCCCAACCGCCCATCGACGATCAAACGGCTCGTCGGCTCGACGATCTCTCAGCCATCGGACCCGAAATTTCAGGTAATTATCAAAACCCTGAAAAAGAAAAATAGACCGTTCATTTGATGGCCTGAAGAGCATGGCGTCTTGCCCCCAGAGAGAGAGAGACAGAGAGAGAAACAACGAGGAGAGAGAAAATCAAGCTGACGTCTTGGAGAAGAGGGTTTCTTTATCGGTCTGTTTCTCCGACAGAATTACCTCCTCTGCCGATCAGCTCGTCTCCTGGTTGACCTTCCCACAGGCCCTGTGGTAGAGTTTGACCGTTTCTCCGTGGCCGGGATCGAGGCAGAGCGCCGCCTCGCAGTCCCGCACGGTGGCCGCCACGTCACCCACCGACTCGTAGAACGCCGCGCGCAGGTGGAGCAGCTGGAGATCCGGCTTGAAAGCTATCGCCCTCGACAGCTCCGCGATTGCTTCCTTTTCTCTGTGGTCATCCATGAGCACTGTACACAGTCGCGCAGAGAGAGAGAGAGAGAGAAAGCTCACTCGTTAAAGTCAACCCAAAAGAATTCCTCTCTCTCTCTCTCTCTCTCTCTGAATTTGAGTAGTATACGAACCTGCAGCTCTGTATCGATAAGGGTAGGTTCTGAGAGGGTCAAGCTCGGTGGCCCGGCAGAGATCGCTCTTCGCCATGTCGCGGTCGCAGTACTCGGAACGCTTCTCGTAGGCGGAGGCGTTGTTGCGGGCCTTCTCGATCAGCTTGGTCATCTCGTCGTACGCCGCCTTCCTCTGATTCTTCAGGTAGTAGACCCGCGCGAGCCCCTGGTGGGCCCGCGTGTGCCGTATGTTCAGAGCGTTGACGTAGCAGTCCGCCGCCAGGTCCAGCTTGTCCCAGTCGACGTAGACGCTGCCGAGGTTATTCAACGCCTGCAGGAGAGGAGAGGAAAGCAGACCCCAGTCAACCCGAGGTTGTCTCAGAGGCATTTTGGTCAAACATTAAAGGGGACAGGAGGGTGGGGGCCACCTGGCCCTTCCGGAGACCGTCTGAGGGGCACTTGAGGGCCTCCTCGAGGAGGAGGACGACCTTCGAAGAAGACGACTCATCGAGGCTCATGTCGGCCAGAGCGTACGCCTTGAGGAAGTAGGCTTCGAAGGATCTCTGAATGGAGATGGACTCCTCCGCCTTGGTTAACGCTTCTTCACGGTAGCCGGTGTCGTAGAGGATCCACCCTTCGTAGACCAGCCTCTCGTGCTCGTGAGCCGAGTGGTTTCGGGCCAGACGGAGACTGCGCATGGCTGCCTTCTGGCAATTCAACCTGCACACGCGTAAGAACCGACTAGACCGCTCAAAATCCAACAGCTGAAAGACAGTGGATTAATCGCGAACAAGAAGATCGAACTTCATATGGGTAGATAAAGATCCACCATGACGCATCAGAGATGACGGAGGGGAGGGACAGACACGATGGGTTGACCTATGACAGAGTAAAAAAATAGAAAAAAAAATTCTCCTCGTCGAAAAATGAAAAAAAAAGGAAAGAAATGAACATCTTCTTTCCTTCTTGTTTGGACAGATAAAGCTCTGTTCGTCTTGCTGATTATAGATCTATCTAGGCTTTCAAAACCTGCCTGGGTTCTGATCAAGAACTAAACCAATGTCTCCAATCCGGCATTCCCAAAAACCCACAAGATCTTAGTTGCAAAGATCCAGTTGCTGCAATTAGATCGGCTTCGCTCTCTCTGAGCAGAAAGATCAAGCGAGGAGTGGATCTTCCCTCACTCTAAGCATACGGGGCAGCAATATCAAATCGCCCATTTTTCTTTGACTGTGAAAACATACAATTGACAGCATTTTATTTTAATCATAAACAGGTAATTAGTATGATATGGCTGAATCAACAAAAAAATCTACTCATCATACCCCAAATCAGCAATCCATGTGACTTCAAACCAAGAACTCTCTACCCCTTTCCAATCAGAAGATTTAATTACCCTTTACTTATCTTTGATCCAGATGCATCGTCTGCCCAGCCTCATCATCGCCATCCAACCCCAGCATCAGAGAGACGGATTCCATCCCACAAGTTCGCTATTTTATTTACTTCGGATGATGTAAAACATTCTCTGCGAGCCTACATGTTTACCAAGGCTTCCATCAAACATCAGAATTATAATAACTCTCATCTCTGATCATATTCCTTCCCGGTAGATTTTAATCTTTTTTAAAGAAAAAGGCAGTGGTCAGGTAGAACAAAGCCTCTGACTATGGTAAGGGTGAGGAAAATCAATTTTTTTTGCATGTGATTTCAACAGTTTTTAGGCTGATGGTCCCCAAAGAGAACATTAGACTTAGCAATAGAAAGCCTGCCTATGATGTCTTTCTTTGGTCTCACATTATCTCCAGTCTGCGGATTCTGCCACCCAGTAAAACTGTTACCAAGAATTTATCTTTTTGACCAAATTAATTGGGCTCACGGTACTTTTAAAAGCACCCCCATTGAAATTTAGACAGACCTAAAAGATTGCAGCACATTGATGGTTTATACCTACCAAAAAAATGGGTTCACAAAGAATTTCCAAATCTTGGGGAAAGCCATTATAAAATTGCAGTATGAATTTCAGTAGGCAGCAAATGAATAACAGTCATCGGCAGCCGAGTGAGCCAATTTTTGTAGCACATGTAAAGGAAGGAGAGCAATCTCTGCAGCTTTTAAATAAGTTTAATCAGAAGAAAAGTGATGAACAGAAAACTCACCTCAACAGAAGGAGAGATTGGCGAAACCACAGGATGCTTTTGCCGGGATCCTTCTCTAACATCTGATGTACCACAGCAAGAGAACCAATATCATCCACAGAAGACCATCTATCATATAACTGCATCCAGCAGTCCGCCAGACTCCATTGCTGCACGCGCTGCTGAAGGAGCTCAACTAGCTGATCCCCATTAACATTCCCATGGAACATCATATAATTAGGATCCAGAGTCATTAGTGCCCTCATATCCCGAAGTGCCCCATTATAGTCTTCTAAAAGGATGGAGAACCAAGCTCGGAGCTCGAGACAGTCGGTAGAGACCTTGAAACCCAGAATCTTGTTAATCTCTGCGGTAGCAGCACCAATTTTATCGTCCTCCATCATGATGATGGCTCGGTACTTGTAAGGGTACACAAGAGTTGGATCAAGCCTGGTGGCATCATTCAAGTCCCGCATCTTCTCCTCCATGCTGCTACAGTACAAAGACCGCTCCTGATGCATCCATCCCACATGATCATTCTCTAAAGCGAGGCTGTTGAGTTGCTTGAAGGCTGAGTACCTATTTCCCCGCCTGTACTTAGCCCGGGCCACGCCTGCAAGAGAGTATACATGTCCCACCTTGGCCGCCTCTTCAAACCAACTCTGGGCATCCTCGTATTCACCTCTCTCCAGCATCACACAACCCAACTGATGAAATGCCAGCTGCTTCTGCCAATCAGAAACCGCAGATTCGCCAAGCCTCTCCAGGAGCATGACAGTGGTGTTCGATCTCATGTCCTCCTCCATTGCCACCTGGCTGAGGAAGTAGTACAGGGCAAAAGACTCGTGTCCAGATGCGGCCAGCCTGTGTCTGGATTCTCCACTGCAGAGAATCCGGGCAACCTTGGGATTGTGCAGGGAACTCGGAAGCTGTCTGAGGAAGACTTGCAGGCAAGAGGCCACCAGCATGTGAGCCGTCTCCTCCAGCCCGTACTCCGCAAGCAGAAGCGCGTCCTCTAAGGTTCCTACCAGCGACGACAGGCGGCCATCGCAAGCGAACTTCAGACCCTCGCAGCAGAACTTGTTTGCGAAGGAAAGAAGTTCGAGGATGATGCCCGGTGGGAAGTCGTCCAGGGAGCCCGTGCGGGTGAAGACACCAACGGCCCTCATCCCATCAGCGGAGATCTCGTTGTTGGTGAAATTGATCTTCTCTCTCCGCGATTCCATGAATCCTCCATACAACATCGCACTGAAAGGTTTAGACAGCGCAGCGATCTGGTAACGAAAACAAACGACCTCTTCATCGCCTATACAGAATACCACGTCACCTTCTTCTTCTCCTTCTACTTCTTCTTCTTCCACAGCTACCCTGTCCTGCTGCTGCTTTTCTTCAACGAAGGACGTGGCCCTCGACCGGGAGGTAGAGCACTCTTTTAAAGGATCGGGGGAGCGGCGGCATGGACAAGGGCGGGACGAGAAGTCGGGATCATACCCCGGGATGAGGGTAGACAATGGGCATTCCAGGGCGGGACCGCAGGAGGAGGTCGATGGGGAGTCAGAACACGATGGGGATGCATCAAGCTCGTCTTCGCGTCGTTCATATCGGAGCCACGCGGAGAGGACAATCTTATGGTGGACGTCGGCGGCGTGGAGGCGGGCGGAGCGGATGGAGCGGCGGAGGAGCTTCGGATCATTGAGCGACCGGAGTAGGGACCGCTGCTCGAGGTGGAGAGCACATTGGTCTTGGGGCGCAGTGGTGGCGTAGCAGCGGAAGGAAGATGCGAGGGCGGAGATTGGATCGACGGGACGAATGAAAGGGTCGATCGCGGGGTCGATCAGGTCCGGGGAAGGGAGGCCGTAGGGAAGGAGGCTGTCGGGGCGGGCGGAAGTGGCCTGTGCAGGCTTGGCGTGGATATTAGAGGCCGAGCGGACGTGGTGGCCCTCCTGGGAAGGGTTCCGGCGATGGTTGTGGTGGTGGTGGTGGTGATGGTGATGGTGATGGCCCTTTTCGTTCACGGCGGAGGAGGTGTTCAGCGCGTACACCTGTCCGCTGCCTCCCTTGCAGCCATCGATGAGCTTCAGGCTTCGAATGCTATTCAATATATTGTTCTGCATCGCCTTTTACTGCTCCGTCTTCTCCGCCGGCACGATCGATCACCTTCTTCCCCGCCGCATCCTCATCTGCACCTCCGCACGCATCGACGAACACAGAGAGGAGGGGGAACGGCAACCAGAGGAATCGGAGATCAAGAACCGAGAGGAAGACCGAACGACCGACCGATCGAAGCCGATTCCCCACCGGCGCCGGCCGAATTCGAATCCCTCTCCGGTTCCTCCGCGGTGGAAGCTCTCCAACGAAGTCCCGACTGGAGAATGTGCTCGCCCTCCCGTCGCTGTCCGACCGAACGTTGTGGAGGGAGGGCGTCCGTTGGAACGGTATTTTCTTTAATTTATCGTTTTTCTTCAACATTATAATATCCCATTTCTTTATTTATATTTAGTATTTCCGACGTGCCCCTCCCCGCAGCGGAGGGCCGCGGAAAACGGATGGTTGCGCTCCAAGCCGCGGAAAACCGCTCGGCCCATATTTTCCGGCCCACTTACTGTTACCTTGGTCTGGAGCCCTGGTCAAGCCCAATAACCCTGCAAGCTCCAATGAGCCGCATGCGGTCTCAGAGGTTCTTACCCCTCTCTCTCTCTCTCTCTCTCACTCACTCACTCACTCACACAACATGAAGAGTGCCCATAAATACAATATAAATTTTAAGTATTTTTTCGAAAACATCTCCCCAATATATAATGCGACCAATTTCTCATTTTTTTTGTCAATTAATTGGAGAACGAAGACAAAACAGCTGTCATTTCGAATATGACAAGGTTTTTATCTAATTCCAAGACTTAGTAAGGGTCCGACGGAGAATAAAACAGGATACGTAGTGTCAAATGTTGGCGGAATCGCCGACAGTCAACCTCCGAGGAGTGGACCATATGTACGGCCTGATTCCCCGAGCCGGTATGATACCACGCGGAGAACCCGCCCCGGACTCGCGTTAGGACCTCCGAAGTCCTGGGCGGCGGCCAAGAGATGGAGTGTCGACTTCCCACCGCACGTCGGTGGATCGCCCCAGAGATCGGTCGTACCGCCGCCCCGGGTCTCCAACTATGCGGATACTTTGGGGGCAACTTTCCGCCGCCAATCGCCGCCACTGCCGGCGGCGTCGTCCTCGCCGCCCGGCGGAGCACAAGTCTGCCGGCTTGCCAGGATCGGCGGCGTTCGACGGCGGCGAGGGCCTCGATGTGGGCACAGGAAGCGGTGGTCCGCGATGTGTTCTCGTCTGCGTTCACTTCGGGAGTCGCATTGTCGCTGCTCCGGTTCTGGGAGGAGCTTGCCAAGCGGGGCGTCTTCGAGCAGGTCAGCCACCAGATCTGACTCTTTCCATTCTGAGAAAACGCTCCCATGCGGCAGGTCGAGTGCTGGGATTCTATGGTGTGAGCTTAGATCCAGCCATTTAGGCCGATCTGAACACAAATTCGAGGACGCCTCGTGGAAAGGGTATTATCCTGCCGTCATCCGGTCGGTTAAATTTTTTAAAAGTAACCGTGTGAAGTCCGGTGATAATGGTCGGGATCCAAGGGGAGGTGAGTTTTCGGTGACCTCGGCCGCTCCTCTGTCAGATCTAACAGAAGCCAAAGTGCTCATGTGGTGGGAAACAGCCATGGATAGACTGGATTCGGAAGATTAAACGAATGCGGAATTCCTTGGAAAACATTAAAGAATTCATTGCTAAAATATCGTCGATAAAGCGTGCGCTGGGTTTGCCTCATTTTCAGGAAACTGTAGAGCTAATTTTTTTGGATCGAAGCACAACTGATAGACCAGGAAGGGATCCGCGGGTTGTTTTCTGACGGCTCCAAGGGTGCGATTCGTTCTGTCCTTGAAACATAAGACGGGCCCGTTGGAGCTGATCATCCCCTCTGATTTGTGGGTTGGAATCCGGGGAAGTAGGGAAAACTAGGGATTCAGAAAAGACTCCCAGGCCATGCATCTCGTCCTCTGTAGAGGACTCTTCCCCCGGTAGGACTGGCGGGATTATGACTTGGAAGGAGTTCTTCGTAGATCAAGCCCAGAGGCTGGAAAGAGTCGAATGCCATGCATTTTTTATTTTTATTTTTTTTAATTATTGGTTGAACTGACAATCTAAATTTCCATCTAGATGGATCGAATTGTTACCCTGAACAGCCCTTTCCTCTATCGACCTCTGCGACTTATGTGGGCCTCCGATTTTAATGCTTGATTAATTGAGTTACGACTTTTTTGATGTGTCTGACAGAATACTCCAGCTTGTAGACATTGATTCTCATCCCGACGTCAATGTATTGCCTGCATCTCTCCCTGAGTTACAGAGGTCTGACCAATTCGGGAGACCTTAGTAGAGATTACTGCATCAGAAGACCTTAGTTTGCATATTTTCAATTTTCACCTGGGGGACGACAAGGTGACAAGTTTGACAACTATGTAATTCGGGATATGCTCATGTGAGAGTAAGATTTAAAAGGGTCGTATTTTGCAGTCTTTTTTTTTCACATAGTTGACGAGATTAATGGTATCACCATCTTTTGTTCTTGAACGGCTGACAAATTGGGATAATCGTGTTGTTTTCTTGTAAATGACCAGATTTATTTTTGAGCAAGTTCACAACATGGAAACGCTCTCTGCTCTCCCTGGTTGAATCCATCGTGAGGCCGTCAGTTCCATCCAACCCCCAATTTTCTGAATCCTTCCTCCGGGAACAGTCACCGCCACCTTCTTCCCATATCCCCGGGGTGCAAATAAGGAAGTTGAAGCACTTGTGAGCGAGTTTTTATGTGGGTCTGTCCTGGATCTCTGGGGTTCTCCTCATGCACCTGGTGAAGCCGAAATTTTATATATATTTTTCTGGTCCACTGCTTCCGCTGAATATTTGGTCTTCTCGCTGAATATTTACAACATTTTTTCCTTCCGCTACCTTCTGATTTCTTGGATTCGTTTTCTGTTTCACCTGCCGCCGCCACTAACGCCCCCTTCCTCGTAACCCTCGCAGACTCTGAGCAGGAAGCTGGTTCACATCAGCGTTGGGTTGACTTTCATGCTCTTCTGGCCAATGTTCAGGTATGGATCAGTGTTCCCTGACCCTCCTGGCTTGTATTGACTGGACCCAGATGGGTTCTTATGGTTTCCTTCCGCAGCTCCGGAGAGCTGGCCCCATTTCTGGCAGCCATTGCTCCTGTCTTCAACATAATAAGGATGATCTTTCTGGGACTGGGTATCTGGAGAAACGACGCCATCGTCAAGTCCATGAGCAGATACGGAGACTACAGGTTTCCAATTAGACAATGTCGACTCCCTGATTTCGCTCCTGACACAGCCGACTAAGTGAGATCAGTCTTGCTTCTGGGTTTCCAGGGAGCTCCTCAAAGGACCTCTGTTCTACGCCTGCACCATCACCCTAGCAACCACTGTCTTCTGGCGAACCTCCCCTGTCGCCATAGCTGCCGTCTGCAACTTATGCGCAGGAGACGGTATGGCTTTGCCTTTGTTATGCCACCTCATGCGAGTAAGAAACAATCGTCCTTGAAGATCACCTCTCTCTCTCTCTCTCTCTCTCTCTCTCTCTCTCTCAGGCGTGGCCGATGTCATCGGCAGGCGATTCGGAAGGGTCAAACTCCCCTACAACTCCAGCAAGTCCTACGCCGGCAGTGTGGCCATGGCGGCAGCGGGATTCCTCGCATCCGTCGGGTGAGTACAACTACCGCCGTTTATTTCTCTCTCCTGGGCTGCTCCTCGCTCTCACGATTTCATGGGTTCTTTCAGGTACATGTACTACTATTCCCTGTTCGGGTTCGTCGAAGTGAGCTGGGGGAAGACTCTAGGGTTCTTGCTGGTCTCCCTGGCCGCCACTGCGGTCGAGTCTCTCCCCATAAGCTCCAAGTTTGACGACAACCTCACCGTCCCCTTGACCTCCTTCCTGGTGGGCTCCCTGGTCTTCTGACCTCTATGAAAACAGAGAGAGGACAATGATATCTAGAATAGAGAGAGAGGGAAAAGGGAGCCGTTGAAATAGATGAACAAAGAGGCAAATCAGTTCGTAGAAAACGAGCCCTAGATTTTCTATTTATTAGCTGTATAACAGGTTAACATAACAGCCCGTAATGGCCCTTCAAACTCAAGATGGGGTAAACATACAAGAACAGACATATAATATGAAACTTAATAAAGGAATCAATCAGTTGTAGAGATGATTAAACATAAGGTAATGTAAGGGTGCTGACTTGATGATGATGACAAATCAGGTGACATCAATCTTAATGTGTTTCTTGTGTTCATGAAAAATAGAATTATGAGTAATTTGAATTACACTTTTGTTGTCACATTAAAGTGGATTAAGAGTAGCATATGATACACCCCATGTCATTAAGAAGTCAATCAAATCAAATAAGTCAATGTAGGTGTCATAGTTTGATATTTGGCTTTACTAATAGAGTGAATAACACATTTTGTTTCTTAATTTTATAAGAAATAAGAGAATCGCTAGGGAATGTGCACCAACAATGGTAGATTTATTATCATTGCGATCACTAGCCCAATTAGCATCAATATAAGCATGAAGAGTCAATGAATAATGAGAAGAGACTAGAAGCCCATGAGCCTAAAAGCACAAACATAACAAATAATATGAAGAACTTCAGTAGAAATTGATTGATAAATTATGTGTTATGTGTATTGACGTGACCTAGTGTTAATTATTGATGTGACCTTCTTGTAGTGTATTGAATTATGTAAATTAAAATTTTGTAAACTAGAAAATAGTAAAAATTATTTTTAAAAAATATTATGTAGAAAAAAAAATCAAGAAAGAGCTCTAAAATATTGAGAATGTTTCAAGTGGATCAGGAATGTAACATAATATTCAGTAAATTTTAGAACTTTTTCAAAGAATCTAATTTTATATAATTTTAAAATTAAAAGGTCATAAGAAAATATTTTTAAAAATTAGAGAAAAAGGAAAATTCAAACCTTGAAGTCAAATAAATGTCAACACCCACTAGAACATTACATCAAGCTAAAACAAACTTATGTTTGTCAATTATTATGTTAGTGACTTCATAGGCTTTGATTAATAAAATCGAGAATCTCTAAACATCAAATGAATAATCATAGACTAAATAATAGCTTAAAACTTAAATTTAAGTAAAGATATCATTACCTTATATATTAAATTAGTTTAAACAAAGACAATAGAGTTTTAGTGTCTCAGTGGTAATCATCAAATTTTTGTATGTTTGAAAACTTCCTTAGAGGTGTCTACAATTTTGAGGCTCTCTTTAGATGTGCATTGTGTGGCCACTCTCTAGACTCCCATGGAAAACCAAGAGGGCAAAGGTAAGTGATGATGAAGTGTCTTCAGTGGTTGTCACCTGGTAAAGCAAAAGTTAACAAAAATAACTCTTTGACAACTGTCAACTCAAAGAGCTAAGATTGATGAAGGTGGAGCATATCTCGAGGAGCTTAATTTTCAAGTCCTCATAATAAGAGTAAACTCTTTAGCACATTTGAAATACTTTAAATAGATCGTGACAAATCTCTTGATAGATTCTTTTACCCTCGATGATGGCTTGTTCATCAACCAATAAGGAATTTAAATTTCTTCCAAAGTTTTTATTTTTCTATTTAGAATCATTGACAAGTTGCTAATGATGATCCTTGATTATTGCTAATGAAGATTTTATCATCGATCAACTATTTTCTCAATTTTACCTATTATTTCTTAATAGAAAAATTGTAAAGTTAAAATATAAAAAATCAAATTTTACATCAATAAACTTTAATCTTTGTCGATCCTTTGGTTGTGTATGTGATGTTAAGTAAATTCTACTTATACCTATGAAACAATGAAAGCAAGAGTGTGAACCTTTTCCATAATATAGGGGCATTTTAGGTATTAATTTAGATGATGAGAGTCATTGACTATTTAGTCACAGATCAATTGTTTTAGAGAGTTTTAGATCTATATTAAGTATGGAGTATATTTTGTATTTGAGTTCTTTCTTCTGAAAGCAAAATGTTCATGGCCACTTAGGGGGAAAAGGTTATACGAAATGGCCCATTGTCATGTAACACATGTGACATGATCATGCCTTGCCCCATGCATAAGTTCTTGCTCAAGGATGTGGAAGATGAGTGACACACATGTGTCCATATGTCCTTACCTACTAGAGTCTAACTCATGCTTTTGCTCAATTTAGGTCCACTCATTCAAGTGCAATACCTTCAAGGTCAACTAATGAGTGCGGATTAATTAGTGGATTCTCTCTCTTCTTATATTCTTATCATCTATTATATTTTACTATATTTTAACTTTAAAATATAAGTATAAATATCATATAATTAATTATACATTTATATTAATCATGTAAAAATTATATTTCTTAATTAAAGATAAATATAAGACTATTTATTATGAGTTAACACAAAATATATCATTAAACTAACTATTAACTTATTGTAATATAAACTTATTATATATCATGATTTAAAAAATAAAAATGAGTGAGAATGAGATAATATAAAAGATGCTCTAAGAAAACATGACTTAATATGAAGAAATGATTTGAAGTGGGATCACAACATCGAATAATCTTCTAGTGATACATTACATCTAAGAAAAACACATGAGAGAGAGCTAAGAATTTAGCATATTACAAGAAACTAACTAAGACAAAATAAGTGGACCCAAACATATGAAGAGGTAAATAATCAAGAGAAAAGTTATACAAACATTTAAATGGGGATAGACCAAAGTAATCAAGATTAAATATAATTTATATGATAATTGATAGTGACAAGGATTTAGCCTCAAAATAGAAAAGGTGTATAAATGAAGAGAAGTAATGTGTATAGTTTCAACTAGATGATGACGTTTTCAACTATTTCACTTATGAAATGTATAAGGACATGAAGTTTGATGAATAATTTATGATGATGTAAAGAGATCTCCAAACATCTTAGACATATATTTTACTCATCAATTAGAATAAAACATTTAATTAGTTTTTCAAACTAGATTTTTATCATAATAATAAAGTTTTTATATATAAGAAATAATTCATAACATTTATCCATTAGAAATATCTAAGTATAACTAGTGAAATCATCAAATAAATACAACATAATAACAAGCATCACTTTTCATAACTAGAAAAAAGAACATAGAAAAAAATAGTTGTGAGTTCAAAAGCTAAAGTTGTCATTTTTTTAAGATGTAGATATCAAAAAATATAATCTAAAACTATCTACATGATCAAGACAAGAGTGCCATCAGTACAAAGGAGAAGAATTTTGACATGGGCCAAAAGAAGAAAGGTCTAGAAAGGATACTACAATAGTAAATGATTATATCATATAACTTTATGGCATGTCACAGTCAATCCCTTTATCTATTGATCCTACACAAGATCACAAGATCATTAAATACATAAAGATAATAGGCTAATGAATAAACTAAGAAGATAAATGACATTAGAAAGAGAAATATTAGATTGAATAATAGATTTAATATCATTTAACTACCTAGAGTAATCATTGATAATATAGATGGAATTAAGATGTAAACTTAAGGTTAAATAAGTATGTCAATTGTAAGAAGGGGTTATGTGAGTTGTGGCAATAAAGTCAAAAATCTAAAAAGAGTGATTGCCTACAAGTTGAGAAGTGGACACATTTGTGGTAGTTAGATGAGTAGATGGAAGTAGGACACTAGAATGGCAAAGATGAGCAAGTTGTTTAAAAAGTAAAACTTAAATGTCTATATTAAGTATTTGTCAAATGTAATGGGCCCCTTATGTTACAGCCCATCCTAATAGTCAAACTAATGCTATAACTTTTTATGTTATGGTCTAGGGTTCAATATAAACCCTAGGCCCATTGTGGGCTTGCTTTTTGTCATTTTCACTTTTGACACACAAGTACCTTTATGGCAAGACATTTCATCTATGCTGAATTTTTTTTCTAACAACATTTTTTAGCCCCATTGTGTTCCATTATAGTGAGGTTTTTTCACCTCTTGTCTTTTCTTTTGAGGATACTTTGTAGTCTCCGCCAAGCATCTAGTTAGTGAATGATGTCTTTCTATCGACACTCTTTCTTCTACTATTGTGTCTCCTGACTTTATAAATATTATTGTCATCTTCTTCAACATTTGTTGATCAGTGGTCAACTATGTTAGAAGGACCAAAACCTTTTGTTCCACTGACCATATGGGGTAACTTCACAACAAGTCACAAGTTAACAGAAATGAATTACTATCATTGGTAATAATTAATACATATTAATTTCAAGAGAAAAGATAAGATTAATCATCTATTTGAAGGTGTGTCATCTGACCCTAATATGTATTCAATGAGAGAAACATGATGTAGTACTCTTAAATCTATTGTAAAGTTTTATAGAGACTCACATTACCTAGTTGGTGAGTAATACGAAGACATGTAGGACAATATGAGATCACCTTATATTGTTGTATTTTAACATTTCTCAAACATATAATATGATTGTAGAATATTATAGATTGAAGCAAACTGATCCATACCTAAGTCAATATTTTGGTGAGATTACATGTCTTACTCAATATCTCAACTCATTACTTCTTTTATCTACTAATCTCTAACTAATGTAGAAGCAACGATATCAAATGACAATGGTAAACTTCCTTAGTAGGCTTTGTCCTAAATATGAGAATGTTTGGAATTAGATACTAGCACGAATTTAACTTCCAGCACTTGTTGAAGCCTATTAGTGTCTCTCGTGCTCTTATAGATCTTGACACTCTGTAGATCATACTTTATGTAGAACACAATATTAGTATTTATTTAGTAACCTTTTCATGGGCATACTCATGGTGGTTGATATTACTCAGTCATTGTATATTAAATCACGTAAATCTAAAATTTATAAAACTAAAAAATATATTTTTTAGATATATTAGAAGTATTT